CTCAGCTTCTGGCTTATAAACAGGATGGATGAATGGATGGATGGATGGATGGATGGATGGATGGATGGATGGATGGATGGATGGATGATAATGTATAGGAATCCATTTTATGCCTGGAAAGGTCTGTATCCAAGTCTTTCTCCACTCATTCTTTCAGCAAACACGTATTGAGTGCCTACTGTGTGCCCAGGACTGGCTATAGTGAGCTAGACAGACAGCTCCTGCCCTCTTGGCATTTCAGTCTAGTGGAGGACACAGACAAATAAATTAGGCAAATTACTTGTTTAAGTAATTACCAATGATGACATATGATGTCGAGGAAAACACAGGGGACTGATAGAGAGTAAAGAAGGAGAAAGCCACTTGGAGAAGAGACATTTGAGCCTTGACTAGGGGGTGAGATGGAAGAGCCAGGTGAAGAGGGAGGAGAGCAGAGGGCCGGATAAAGGCCAAAGGCAGGCATGAGCCCAGTGGTCCAGGAGCTGGAAGGAGGTCAGCGGGCCTGGGGCAGAGGGAACAGGGAGGAATCAGGAGACAGGGGTGTAGAGGGCGGCAGGGACTGGATCGCCTGGGCCTTGTAGGTCACAGTAAGACATTTAGGTTTTGTTCTAAGCACAACAGGAAATTGCTGGAGAAATTTAAGCAGAAGAAACAACATGATTAGTTTCTTGTTTTTAAAAGATCACTGGCTGCTCTATGGAACGGATTTGCAGAGGGCAGGGCAAAAGCGGTTAGCAGGAAACAGGCTATTGCAAGAGATTATTGTGATATGGCCCAGGGGGAAAAGGTGGAGGTCATGTATATTTTGGAGATGGTATTAATGGAACTTTGGATGGGCTGGATGTAGAAGGTGAGGGAAAAAAGCACTCAGGGAGGCACCCTGATATTTGACTGGAGCAACCAGATGGATGGATGGACATTTTCTGGGTTGAGGAAGACTATGGGTTGGACCAGTTGAAGAGCACAAATGCTTCATCCCAGATACTGTAGGTTGGGATACCTCTTAGCTATCCACATGGAGTCGTCCAGTTGGCAATTGCATACATCAGTCTGGAGTTCAAAGGAGAAGTGATGCTATTCCTGTAACACTATTTACAGTCCTAGGAATGATGCCATCCAGACCCAGATTGAGCCCTGAGAAACTTTAGAGATTGGGCAGAGAAAGAGGAACAAGCAAAGAAATTGAGAAGCAGCAGCCAGAGAGGTAGGAGGGAAACCATGGACGTGCTCTCATGGAGGCTGAGCGAATAGAACCTTTCCAGAAGGGGGCTGCAGCCAACTGGGTTGAATGCTTCTGAGAGGTTGAGGGAGGTGAAGACAGAAACGTGTTCGGCAGACTTGGCAGCAAAGAGGGTGCCAGTGACTTGACAAAAGCCGTTTCAGTTGAGTGGGGGGATGGAAGCCAGGTTGGAATGGGCTGGAGAGTGAACAAAAGGTAAGGAAGTAAAGACAGCTGGTGTAGACACTTTCTAAGAAGTTTCTCCATGAAGGGAAACAGAAAATGGGGCAATAGATGAAGGGAGGAGTGAGGCTGGGAGGGCGGTTTCTGTCACGACCGCCATTATTATCACGATAGGAGAGCCTGGTCATAGACAGGAAGAAGTTCACGGTGGTAGAGAGACGATAACTAGAGAATGAGATCCTTGGGAAGGCAAGAGGGGTCGGGACCGAGCCCACGTGGAAGGCCTGGCCTTTGGTGATTCCCCGTCTTCTGTTTAGCAGGATGGCGGGGGCAGGGGGCAGCGAAGATGGTTTTGTCAGTGAAATGGGGTGTGATGCTATGTTCTTATTGAAGGCTGAGGCAAAGTCACTGGCTGGGAGCACCCTGGGGAGGAGTGTGGGGGGTTGGAGGAAAGAAGAGAAGGCATGGGATGGTTTTGTCACCAAGTGGAGAAGTGAAGCCTCCAGAGAAACCTGCACCCCAGGGCAAAAGTGAGGGCACACGTGGCGTTTGTAACCACGACGTCAACTGTGACCCCAGCCCGGCCCCGCCTTTGTTCCAGCAGCATCCAGCCGCGCAGGGGCTGACCCAGGAACGGCACAACTGGGATGGGCGGGCTGCGGTTTCCCCAGATGAGTGCAATGGAAGGAGAGAGGAGGCCGGAGTTGAGAGTATTTTCGAGGAGGGATTGTGATGATGGCACTTATACTTGAGCTGGGCAAGTCAGAGGGTTCTGTTGGAGAGGGAGAAAGTGCAGGGACAAGGGGTGAAGGCCAGAAGAAGCCCAAGGATCACAGCAACGGGCACTTGACTGTGAGCTGAGAGGTAGGAAGTGAGGAGAGGGGATATCAGAGGAGATGTGGTCTCTGGTCATGATTTAGATTCAGGGTGTGCTTACAGGAGAAAGGGGGCAAAGGTGGAGGGCTCCTCTCATTCATTCACTCATCCATTCACTCAACAACCTTTTATGGGGCATCTGGCTGGCTCAGTTGGTAGAGCGTGCGATTTGTGATCTCAGGGTTGTGAGTTCGAGCCCCACATTGGGGGTAAAGTTACTTAAAATCTTAAAACACACACACACACACAAAACCCTTTTGTTCAGTATTAGGCACTTGGGTGGTACAAAGGAGAAGTCCACTCAGCCAGGGTGCCCAGGGAGGGCTTCCTGGAAGTAGTGGTTCTTGTGTAGGTTGAGTCTAGAAAGACAAATTAAAGTTCTCTGGGGTGACAAAAAGGAGGGGTGCCCCAGGAGGCAAGCAGACCATAAGCAAAGGCCTGGGGGGGGGGTTGTAAAACAGCTTGGCCCATTTGTGAGGATGGAGATGGCACGGCCAGAGGGTGGGTACGTGCGGGGCAGGGGAGGGTGATAAGGTAGGGATGGGGTCATGGCGAGCCTGGGGAGCCAGGTGGAAGGGTGTGGACACGCTACTAAGCAGTAAGAAGCCACTGAAGGAGAACGCAGGTTTGATCAGATTTGTGATTTCAGAAATGTGGATGGTGGATTACCGGGGAGCCCAGTGGGAAGCAGGGAGGCAGGTGGGGGGGATCTGGACAGAGCGGGTGAGGGGCGATGAAGGAGCAAGAGCCTGAAGGATGGAGAGCCTTGTGGGTGATGGACCTGGGAATGGACCAGGTGTACCACCAGCCAAAACCATGCCTCAATTGGCCTAGCCAGGGACAGCACTTTCTCCCTCTCATGACAAGACAGCCAGACATGAAGGGCCTTCAAGGCCGGTAAAGAGGGTGGGAGAGGAATTTGGGAGGAAGTGCAGATTTTGAAGGGGGAGATGCAGAGTCTGCCTGGGGCCGGCTGGGTTCAGCAGGAGGAGTTCACACAGCCGGCTGTGCCGTCTGTGGGTCTGGAGCCCGGGGCGGGGAGAGCCCAGGGGAAGGAAGAGGCGGGGGCCAGGCAGCAATCTCTAAACAGACATGTGCCAACGTGCCAGGCACCAGATGCAGTGATGACCCCAAACCCCAGGCTGTGTGGAGTCTGGCGGGGGAGACGGATACCAACAGACCCTCGTGCAAGCAGGGCATGAATTACTGCTGACCTTAGAGCTTTGAAGACTTCGTGCGCTGGGGGCCTCCAGGGACTCCAGCCAGTGTAGCTTCCACGAGTGCTGTCTCTGGTTCTCCGTCGTCCCACCTGGGGCCCCGTGAAGGGCAGAGTGGGCAGCATCAGGCCAGAGGATTGTTGCCAAGCGAGGCCTGTGAACTGGGAGGGCGCCCAGCAGCCGTGGGGTCTCTGCAGGGCCATCTTGTGTATGGGCATGTCTGTGGGGCCGGGGATGGGATGAAGGCGGGAAGGTGTGTGGCCAGCGGCAGGGTAGGATGGGGGGGGTGTGGGTGTGTGTACATGTGTGCTCTCGCACACGCACGCTCCCACGCCCACGACGGGGCGGAGGAGCAGCTGAGGGATGGGCTCAGCAGGGATGAGCAGAGTCATCCCCCTGGAAACACGACTCCCTGGGTGATGGTAGGGAGCAGCTGGGCCGCCAGGCAGGGGGGCGTGGCCGGCTCCGCCCAATGGCTCTGGCCTCTCCCTGGGCCGCCCTCCCCACCTGTTGACCAAGCCCGGGGAAGTGCTGTGCTGGCCGGGGCAGGGACGCTGCACGCCGAGAAAGGGCCGCCCTCACGTGGAGCCCTGGGAGCCTCTGACGGGGTCTGCCTGAGCCCCCTTGGTGGAGAGCTGGCTCTGGGGTGTCCATGCGGGCAGGCCTTGCAGTGGCTCGGGTGACTGGGCTGCCGTGGTCCCCATGTGCCTGCCTGCTGATGTGGGTCATTCCCCAGGGCCTTGTGGATAAGTGACCCACCACCTCCACTGGGAATGGGCTCAGGAGGGCTGGGCAGCAGCGGGGCCATCAGGAGAGGCCAAGGGACAGTCCACACTGTTCTCACAGGCCTCTGAAGCTCCGGGTGGGTGCGCCTTTATCCACCCAGTCCACACAGGGACCACCAGCCAGAAACAGTCCCTGGAACCTCTAGCCCTGCCCCGCCATTGAAACTCCCATGCCTTTGTCCCCATGACCTTGCCTTTGTGTCCTCCTCTTCCTCAGTGGCATCTGTAGGCTCTCCTGACATGCCCCCACCCTCCCCCCTGCACACACACAGCTTGCATCCTTTTGCTCCAGCCCCTCTGCTTTCACACGGGTTAGATCCCACAAGTTCCGTGGGAGGGAGCTGGTGGGACCCTCTGCAGAGCCTGGGTCCCTTCCTTCTTCCCTCTCCTCGCCCAACATCATGCTTCCCCAAGGCTCAGGACAGGGTGGGCCGCCCCCCCATCTTTCTTTCCCCTTCCCTCCAGGCCAGGGATGGCAAATACAGGCAGATTGGCTACATTCTCCTTTCTCGATGGGGTCTGCCCGCAGTTCTAGGCAGCCCACAGCAGCCCTTAAGACGAAATCCACCTGCCCTTCCTGCTTTAGGCTGCTCCCACCAGGCCCTTCATCTTGAGCCATCCTTGGGGCCGCCTGCACTGTCACCTTTGAGTCCTGTCCGCCTCGCTGCCGGCCTCAGGCCGCTTGAGCGTAGCCAGCTGTGGTTCTCTCTGTCCCCACAGGCCGACGCCGCACAGTTCTGGAGCTTGGGCCCAGGAAGCGGTGGAGGGCACTGGGGCATTGGCCCCAAGTCCCCAGCACCGAAGAGGACCTGGTGGGTTTGCTGTGGGTCCCAAGGGCAGCCAACCCCCTGCTGGGGAGAGTGTGGTGCAGGCCCGGGGGTGATGCTCTTGTGTCCAGCACCCAGGCCCTGCAGGCACAGCTCCCAGTCCCGACAGGCCTTGCGCGCTGACCACCCCGGCCTGGCCCCGGGGCAGGCAGGAGGTGAGTAGCAGACAGCAGGCCCAGGGCGGGGGAGCCGCCAAGCACCCGGGGGGCGGCACACTGCAGCCGCCCCGGCGACCCGCCACCCTCCCAGCCGCCGAGCCCAGGATGCGAGAATGGCCAGCTCATCTCTGCCCACCCTGGTGCCTCTGGGCCCTGAGAGCCTGCGCCCCTTCACCCGGGAGTCCCTGGCAGCCATAGAGCGGCGGGTGCAGGAGGAGGAGGCCCGGCAGCAGCGGAACAAGCAGATGGAGATCGAGGAGTCTGAAAGAAAGCCGCGCAGCGACCTGGAGGCCGGCAAGAACCTGCCCCTCATCTACGGGGACCCCCCACCGGAGGTCATCGGCATCCCCCTGGAGGACCTGGACCCCTACTACAGCGACAAGAAGGTCTGGACCCGGTAGGGTTTCTTCTCCCTGCCTGTCCATCATCCGTCTGTCTGCCTGTCCCTAGACCTCACAGCACTCTCTCTGCCACAGACCTTCATCGTCCTTAACAAGGGCAAGGCCATCTTCCGCTTCTCTGCTACGCCCGCCCTCTACATGCTGAGCCCCTTCAGCATCATCAGACGCTGCGCCATCAAAGTGCTCATCCACTCATATCCTGCCCAAGTGGGGCGAGTGCAGGGGCAAGAAGGGGTTAGGGGCGGGCAAAGCCAGGTGCTGTAGGCGAGGAGGCCCTCCGCCCACCTCCCCTCCCCACCTGCTGCTCCCTCACTTTCCTTGACCCTCCCCCTGACGCTGTTCAGCATGTTCATCATGATCACCATCCTGACCAACTGTGTGTTCATGACCATGAGCAACCCGCCTTCCTGGTCCAAGCACGTGGAGTAAGTCTCCTCCTCCTCAGAGGCCCCCTCCCCCCACCCCGCCCGGGTCTGGGACACAGCCCACCCCAGGGGTCTGCACCCCAAGGATGCCCCAAGTGGCACTTCCAGGAAGACACACACTGCAACTGTCCCCCCCCACCAACACCGTAAGACCCTAGGGTGGTGCACACTGTCACTCTCACCAATATCCTCAACCCCCCGGGCGGCATATTTCATTGTTGTGACCTCCCTCCTGGGAGGTCCATCCTCACCACCCCTGGCCCTGGGCACACTCTCCCGACCAGGTACACATTCACGGGGATCTATACCTTTGAGTCCCTCATCAAGATGCTGGCCCGGGGCTTCTGCATTGACAACTTCACATTCCTCCGGGACCCCTGGAACTGGCTGGACTTCAGCGTCATCACCATGGCGTGAGCAGGGCCTGGAGGGCATCCTGAGGTGGAGGAGGGTGAGGGAAGGGTGCCAGGCCTCAAAGAGGGCAGCTGAGGGGGCTGACCCTCTGGGAGGGGCGGACTGCGGGGGTGACGGGCAGGGGTGCGGCGAGCTGCCATTGCTGGGGTCTGGCGGGGAGGCTCTCCTGATGCCCCCTCCGTGAGCCTCCACACGCCGTGTGCAGCCACAGGCAACAGGGCTGGACCCCAATCCCACAGGCCTCTACCCTTGCCACCCCCACGCCCAGAAAAACTCCTGCACTGTCTTCCCCAGCTCTCAGGACCCAAGAGGAACCTTGGGGGGTCTGACCTGACCTTCCCCCCCCAACCCCTGTGGTTACCCCAACCACAAGGATTCCTCAGCAATCCTCATTCCGGGCCTAGAGAAGCTGTGATTTCTGCCCTCACATCCACTCCCGACTCTGACACAGCCTTCACCCCAACCCCCCTGCCCAGGTACCTGACGGAGTTTGTGGACTTGGGCAACATCTCAGCCCTGAGAACCTTCCGGGTGCTGCGGGCCCTGAAAACCATCACGGTCATCCCAGGTACTGGGAAGGTGCAGGGACCCTCTGCCTGAGCCAGCGGGCCTCCCCCCACCAATGCCCAGGCCTGGAACCTGACACTCAGGTCCAGGAGCCTGACCCAGGGTCACAACACTCTCACACCAAAACCTGGACACAGTTGGGGGGACCCCATGGCCAGGGAGGAGCAGGGGCTGGAGGCTGGAGGATGGGCGTCCGAGAGGCAGCACAGCAAGGTGGTTAGAGCACAGACCCTGAGCCAGACTTCTTGAGCTCAAGTCTCATCTCCACCACTTCCTAACTTGGACTTCGGGCAAGTGGTTCAACCTGCCTATGACTCAGTTTCCTCCTCTATAAAATGTGCATAATAATAGTCCCACTCATTGGGCTGTTACGAGGATTAAATGTGCATGGATGTGTGTTAAATAAAATGAGCAGACTGGGCAGAGCAGAGAACTCCACTAGGGAGAGACAAAGGGAATGAGTGATGGAACGTGCCGGCCCCGAGGGCTCAATAAGGAACATGCCACATACCCACTGAGCAGTCAGGCCAGGGCAATTCCAAAGTAATGCAGCGAGAAACATGAAATAAATAGAATCCTGAAAACCCAGGTCCTCAAAAAAGCACATGGAGAAACCAGACAAGGTTCACGAAAGGAGAGAAAGACGGTCTGAAAAGAGATGGACCCTGGGAGGAGGGGGATTAGGTCTGAGTGCTAGAAAGTACCATAATTTTCCCCTAGTCCAATGCCCTCAAACTGTGGCTGAGGAAGGTGACACCCTGACAGGCCCTGGGAGAGGAAGTGCTTTCCGAAGGCCATATTGCTCTCTGGCCACCGAGTGAAGGCCACGGTCCTCAACACCACGCTTCCAGCATCCTCCCAGCTTGGAGGGTTTTGATAAGGCAGCTGCTGAGCCCCTGTTTTCCACATCAGGATAAGAAAAGGAAATGAACTGGGGTGCCTGGGTGGGCTCTGTCAGTTAAGTGTCTGCTTCGGCTCAGGTCATGGTCCCAGGGTCCTGGGATCGAGCCCCACATCGGGCTCCCGGCTCGGCGGGAAGCCTGATTCTCCCTCACCCGCTCCCCCTGCTTGTGTTCCCTCTCTCACTATGTCTCCCTCTGTCAAATAAATAAATAAAACCTTAAAAAAAAAGGAAAGGAAATGAACTGATATGGAAGGGAGAGACACTCTGATTAGGCCCAAAGAAAAAGTTACAGCTCTTCCATAAATGATGGGAATCCATCCCTGGAAGTCTTTAAGAGTTTCTATGCCTTTGTCTGTCCAAAGGGGCAGGTTGCAATAAGATCTCCAGCTCAGTCCAGAGCTGCTGTTCCTTGGGTGTTAATAGGCATTATAAGAAAAAGTGTTCTGTTGTCAAGTAAGTTAAGAAAATGTGGTATTAAAGTGTGTGTTTGTTTCTGCAGGACTTGTCAGAGCCTTTGATAGGCTAATCTACAGTCATGCTCCAAGAGCAGAATCTAGAACTGAGCCTTTCCCAAACATTTATCGAACCCCTTCTTTTAAGGGCACAGCTGGGGAGATCAGTGTTGTGTAGAACACAGTTTGGGAGTGTTGACCTGGTGACATTCAACTCCACCGTGGGCCTGTGTGTTACTCTACAAGTCAGGCAACAACCTGGAAAGTCCTTATAGCTTACTCTTCTAGTGGCCGAGATTCTGTGGCCATTCAAAGGCTCCACATCAAGGATGAGATGGGAGAGGGGTGGGCTCATTTGGGGAGGCTTCAGGGAAGTGGTGCCCCTCATATATCAAGCCTTGAAGGAGATGTGTAGGCAAAGGCTTGAGGGGATAGGAGAGGGAGCTCTCACCCTGCGAAACCCCTACCCTCACCCTCCCTCTGGTCAGGGCTGAAGACGATTGTGGGGGCCCTGATCCAGTCCGTGAAAAAGCTGTCGGACGTGATGATCCTCACCGTCTTCTGCCTGAGTGTCTTTGCGCTGGTGGGGCTGCAGCTCTTCATGGGAAACCTGAGGCAGAAGTGCGTGCGCTGGCCCCCGCCCTTCAATGACACCAACACCACGTGGTACGGCAACGACACGTGGAACGGCAACGACACGTGGAACGGCAACAACACGTGGAACGGCAATGACGCGTGGAACGGCAATGACACGTGGAACGGCAATGGCACGTGGAACAGCCATGAGAGCTGGGCCAGCAACTCGACCTTTGACTGGGATGCCTACATCAGTGACGAAGGTAAGAGCGCAGGCTGGGGAGGCCGGGGGGATCTGTCCCAGCCCCTAGGGCAGCCCCTCACACGGGATAAGCAGCAGGGGGCACCGAAGCTTAAATCCATCGCTTACCAGCTTGGGGAACCTCTGACAAGTCACGTGGTCTCCCTAACCCTCAGAACCCTCACCTCTAAAACTGAGGCAACAGTGCCTTTCTCGGGCGCCTGGGTGGCTCAGTCGGTGAAGCGTCTGCCTTCGGCTCAGGTCATGATCCCAGGGTCCTGGGATCGATTCCCGCATGGGGTGCCCTGCTCAGCAGGGAGTCCGCTTATACCCCTCTGTCTGCCACTCTCTCCCTCCTCCTCCCCTCTGCTTGTGCATGCTCCCGTGCACGCGCTCTCTTTCTCAAAAAAATAAATAAAATCTTTAACAAAAAAATGCCTTTCTCAAAGGGTGAGCGTGACAATGAATGCCCCATGGCTTTGAAAATCCTCCGGCTTTCTCTATGAAAAGCAGCGGCCCATCGTCCCCATTCCCTAACCAACACATCCCTTATTTTCCCCCATAACATGACCTCCTGGCACCCTGGCAGGGCCACCACCCGCCACCCATGGACTCACCTGGTCACACCCCATACTCCACAGGCACACACACAGCCACACGTTTTCACGCAGCCACCGTTAGTCCATACAAGGCCTTCTGGCTAATTAGGAAAGAGTACCCCTTCTTCAACCTGGCCCCTGGATTCCAGCTCTCCCCCCACCTGCTCACCCCTCAGTCGGGCGTCCCACACAGACGTGCAGTAGCCGCGTGCAAACGCACACGCCGGCGGGCCGGCCCTCTGTGCCCCTGCTGCGTCCCGACCGCCCAGCCACACACCCGAGGCACTGAGCCGACACAGCTTGCAGCTGGGCTCCCTGAAAGGCATCTACCCAAAGACCTTAAAGGAGGGACAGGGGCAGCCAGAGAGCCTCCATTTGCTGCATGTGATGCACACAGATGTGCCCCCAGGCGTGCAGTGAGTGCGAGGGTCCACAATGTGTCCACGTGGGTGACACGTCTCCTCTGTGGCCTCTGACTCCCAAAGGGAACTTCTATTTCCTGGAGGGTGCCAATGACGCCCTGCTCTGTGGGAACAGCAGCGATGCTGGGTGAGTGATACGGGCGGCTGGGAAGAGGTGTCCCAGGGGTGTCAGGAGTCGGGAGCTGACTAGGGACAAGGACGTGGGGTGGAGGGGAAGGTAAGGAAAACCCGTGGACGTGAATGGGACCCTTCCCTGTTTGGGGGACGTGGACAGAACTATAGGATTTTTCCTCTTGGGATTCCCCCCATCTTTTGCTCGGCTGGAGTTCTCTTCCCTCCCTAAAGCCAGCAGCCCGTTTTATCCACAGGCACTGCCCCGAGGGTTACGAGTGTATCAAGGCTGGGCGGAACCCCAACTACGGCTACACCAGCTACGACACGTTCAGCTGGGCCTTCCTGGCCCTCTTCCGCCTCATGACCCAGGACTACTGGGAGAACCTCTTCCAGCTGGTACGACTGCCCCCGCCCTGCTCGAAGCCCCCCCGCCACCTGGCCCCAGCCCCACAGCCTCCTCAGGGCATGGCCGGACCTGTAACAAGGCCCCCTCCTCCCTGAGACCCCCGTCAGCGCCCCTGCAGACAGCTTCTCGGAGGCCTCTGACACTGGGGACCTGCCCACATCTGGCCACAGCCTTCTCTTCCTTTGCCACCTTCGCCTTAAGCGCTGAGATCTGGGCCTGGCACAGACCCCCCAGGCCTCACAGCAACCAGGAGGGTAGCTTAGAAATTCAACCGTGCCCCTACACAATTATTTAGCTTCTACCGTTTGCATGGTAGGCAGGTTGCGTCTGGAGCCGCAGTGCCTTCTGGTCCCTGGTAATGTTTCTAACACTGATGATATTAATGATAATAATAATAATGGCAACTATTATTTGTTGAGCTCTTATTAGATGCCAGGCACGGTAGCAACGGTAGGATTCAAGTTGACCCCAAAGCCCGTGTTCACTTTTTTTTTTTTTTTTTTTTTTTAATCCTGGCTCTCTAATCTCAAGATGTCTGTCTCAGGTCCTAGGGCTCTCTGAGCCAGGAGACCAGGAAAGTCTGGGTCCCAAGTGTATATTTTGAAGCTCCCCAGAATGTGGCTTAGCCGGCCAAGGATGGCTATCCCCTGCCTCAAGGTCCTCAAATCGCCAGGCTCTGTGAGCGACCCTCCCTGTCTACCTATCTGGGCAGTGGGTGTGTGGCGAGGGGTGGTGGGTGAAAGCAGGCAGGGGGCCATGGGACGCTCCCTCTCCCTCTCCCCCTCCTCCCAGACCCTTCGAGCTGCTGGCAAGACCTACATGATCTTCTTCGTGGTCATCATTTTCCTGGGCTCCTTCTACCTCATTAACCTGATCCTGGCGGTAGTGGCCATGGCGTATGCAGAGCAGAACGAGGCCACCCTGGCCGAGGATCAGGAGAAAGAAGAAGAGTTTCAGCAGATGCTGGAGAAATTCAAAAAGCAGCAGGAGGAGCTGGGGAAGGTCTGCACTCAGGGAGAGGAGGCCCTCAGCCTGGGTTCTCCCGGGCAGGCTGAGGGTGAGGGAGAGGCATGGGGTAGGGGCTGCAAGGCAGGGTGAGCACAAGGCCCCAGGCTGGGGGCTTTGCGGGGATGGGAGGCATCCAGGCAGTAGAAAGAGTAATCCGCAGCTCTGTGCCTCAGTGTCCCGATAAACAACAAGGCATCTGGAGTAGTTAAACCTGAAGTGACCTTCCAGCTCAAATATCTATGGTCTTGTGATTCTTTCTGGGCGGGATATGGGCCCGTGCTGAGGGAGAGGTGGGTCCTGGGGAGGTCCTGGCGTGAAGCCGCCCATTTCCTCACCACCTCCTGGAGCGTAGGGTCAGTCCAGGCTTCCGAGAGCTGTGGGTCTTCAGGGATGAAGGTCTTCAGTCACTTTGGTCCCTACCCTGTCAGTCCCGTCACCCCCGAGGTCGCCCCCCGAACCGCACCAGGCTCAGGACTTGGAAAGAAGCTCTGAGGGTCCGTTAGTCCATCCACCGGGCTCCAGGATGGACTCCGTGCCCACCATCCTTGCTGATCCACAGGCCAAGCCTGCCCAGGCTCTGGAAGGCGGGGAGGCAGATGGGGACCCAGCCCACGGCAAAGACTGCAACGGCAGCCTAGACACATCGCTGGGGGAGAAGGGGCCTCCCCGGCAGAGCTGCAGTGCAGACAGCGCTATCTCAGACGCTATGGAAGGTGAGTGCTTGACACCCCTCTGGACATCCTCCTCTGCTCATCCTGCCCATCAGGCCACTCGGGCTCCTGGGCGGGGGGCGGGCAGGTGGGGCCTGGCTGGGCCCAGCTTCGGAAGGACAGTAACTTCATATAGGTATCGAAGAAATGGCCGTGAGGAATATAATGCTGGCTTAGCCCGGCCCAGTTCTGGCTGCAAGGCCAGGCTGCTATGGGAACTGGGGGCTTCCGGGGGAGGACCTCGGGGGCTGCCAAGGCAATGGGGAAGGACAGGAGGATCATACTAACCAGGAAGGCCCAGGGTTCTGGAAACTGGAAATCCTGCTCCTCAAATGTCTTCTGGACAGAAGTTAAAGGCCAAAGGTCAAACTCTGCCCAGGTAGAGTCCCAGATTCCCTCAAATCCCCATACTGCCCTACAAGTGCCAGGGAAAGAACAGGATAAGGTAACAAGGACAGGGTGGATAGACACAAACACGGATGGATGGATGGATGGATGGATGGATGGATGGATGGATGGGCTGAAAGATCAGTGAATGGGAAGAGACATGGGTGTGTGGATGGATGAGAGGAAAGGGGGGAGCGAGGGAAATAGGAGGAGGGAGGAGAAGGGGAGGAGGAAGCAAAGGAAGAAGGAAATCTGACATGGAAGAGATCTGGTCCCCTTCTCAGGTCCCCCTCCCCTTCCTTGTGCCAGGAAGGACTGGGAGGGCCTAGAGAACTTTGGAGACCTCTGGAGGAGGTCACTCAACGCTGCCCTGTGTTTCTACCCTACTCCCAGAGCTGGAAGAGGCCCACCAGAAGTGCCCACCGTGGTGGTACAAGTGTGCCCACAAAGTGCTCATATGGAACTGCTGCACCCCATGGATGAAGTTCAAGAGCATCATCCACCTGATTGTCATGGACCCCTTCGTGGACTTGGGCATTACCATCTGCATTGTGCTCAACACCCTCTTCATGGCCATGGAGCATTACCCCATGACAGAGCACTTTGACAACGTGCTCACTGTGGGCAACCTGGTAGGGAGGGGACAGGGAGAGGTGTCACTCCCAGGCAGGACAGGAGAGAGAAGGGCCACAGGGCCCTATGGGGCCATCTGGGCTGTGTGGAAATACGGGGCACTATTGGGGGGCATATGGGGACAAGCTGGGCTTATTCTCTCCCAGTATATGGGGGGCAGGAGTTGAGATACACGGGAGGTACATGGGGTGACCCATGGGATGTGGAATTTGGGTTTTAGGGTATTTGGAGGCAGAGAGAATGGGAATGAGGTGCTAGACATTTTAAAATTAGGACTCAGGAGGTCTGGGGTCCAGGCCAGGCCCTGGAGGCAGAGGTGGGGGAGTGGGGGCATGGGTGACAGGTCTCCACTTTCAGAGGTTGATGTGGGCCTAAGAGGGACCAAGGGACCTGAAAGTGGGGGCATATAGCCCTGGGCACCCAGGCCCAAGAGGCCCCCTGGGCATTGTCCCCCAACCCCAGCGCCCTGCCCACTACCATTTCTCGAGCGTGGCCAGGCCAGCTCTGGGCGGCGGCCTTTCCTGCCCAGCTATTGTTGACATGCACTGATCCGCCTGCTTATCCCTGCCCATTAGGAGCATTATCACCTCGTTTCCAGCCCCGCGGAGCCTGACAAAGGGAAAAAGCCGCCTCATCCTCCAGCCCTGCCCTGCCCTTCCCCATTCCCTTAGAAATGTTTCCAGATGGCAAATGGGCCAGATGCTCCCCCCACCACCCTGAGGGTGAGGAGAGCCCAAGGAGAATAAGATTTGGGGGCCTGCGGCAGGATGAGGATGATATGGGTGGTGTGGGCATCAGACCCTGGACTCCCAGCCTGTGAGGCAGGCACTTCTATCCCATGGAGATGTCTAAGGCAGCCATGCCAGGCTGGGCTGGAGGGACAAGCGTGTGCTCTGGACTCACAGTGCAGCTGCCGGGCTGTGCGTGATGGGCCCAGCCTGCCACCTGCCCACCGCCTGCCCACCCCTGCCCGCACTCTGCTGCCGTCTGGGCACCTGCTATGGCCAGGGACAGCTCCTGGGTGGGGTTCAGCATGTGCCCGGGCAAGCTGTGGACCAGGGCAGCTGGTGCCCGGCAGGAGGGGGGCTGTGCCCCGGGAGCTTTCACAGGCTAGGAAGCCCTTACACCCCTGCGCCCGGCTTGTGGAGGGCAGCTCTGGCCTTCTCCTGGATCCCTGATCTTGCCCCCTTTTGGCCCCTACCCTAGACTTCTGAGTCCACCAAGGTTTGCTGAGTTCTGCCAATCAGGGTAGAGAGGGTAGGGTGTAGAGACAGGAAGACTGAATTAAGCACCCCAAGACCTGGGTTTGAGGTCTGACTCATTCCCATATGGGTGGCGTGAGCAAGCACTTGCCGCTTACTCTCAGAGTCTCAACGTTCTCATCTCTGGGACAAGTGACCATCACTCCCAACTACGTAGAAATTGGCATTCCAGTGAGGTCATCACGTGAACCGCAAAGGGCTGTATGAGTGCTAAATATTATGACTGGGGGGAGGCCCCCAAGAAGTGAATGACTGGCCCATGGGCACAAGGCCAGAAGCGGATGGGTTCAGGCCTCCCTCAGGGTGGTACCCACTGTGCCCTGGGGCAGGGCCATTCCACTCACGCACGCACACATGTGGGCCACGGGTACCACTGCCTGACCCCGCTCAGGGCTCTGCCAGGAGGTGGGAGTTGGGGGGGGGGGGGGCGACCCTCAAGGCCCTGTGCTCCCTGAGGCTCTGCGATGTGGGGCGCCCCCCACCCTGCAGGTCTTCACCGGCATCTTCACAGCAGAGATGGTACTGAAGCTCATCGCCATGGACCCCTACGAGTACTTCCAGCAGGGCTGGAACATCTTCGACAGTATCATCGTCACCCTCAGCCTGGTGGAACTGGGCCTGGCCAACGTGCAAGGGCTGTCCGTGCTCCGCTCCTTCCGACTGGTGCGTGAGGCCCAGGGGCCAGGTTGAGGAGGGGCGGGGTGGGGGTACGCAGGAAGATGGGGGGAGAGATCGCCAGGAAGGCACTTGTGCATGCCACTCTGCCACTCCACCACTCAGAACCTTCCTTACTGGAAATGGGGAGGAAGAGAGCCCCCTCCCTTATCACATAGGGCAGCCGGGGGCCAAAATGAGAGCCCTGGGAGCTGACATTTGGGCTTGACTCCTTAGTAACCTTGGGTGAAAGTGGAGAAGGCACCATATTGCAGACCTGAAGGCTGGGGCTCAGGAAGCTCATTAGTAGTGGAATCAGGAGTCCGGTTTAGTATCCTTTCCACCACCCCATAGGAACACTTTTTTTTTTTAACTTTATTATGGGACCTGTCATTCATCCACAAACATATAAAGTATACTGAACCTCTGTGTACCTATCACCCATTCCAACAGCCATCAACATTCTGTGGTTCTTATTCCATCTGTCCTCTACTTTTTATGGGGGGGGGAGCATGTTAAAGCAAATCCTGAACATATAATGTCACTTGTAAAATACTTCAGTCTGTATCTTTAAGATATAAGGACTCTATTTCTTTTGAACACAGAAAGAGGATGAGGTGATCAGATAGGAGTATTCCCATTTAAAATCTTTTTTTTTTTATTAAATGTTTTATTTATGTATTCATGAAAGTCAGAGAGAGAGAGAGAGGCAGAGGCAGAGGGAGAAGCAGGCTCCCCGCCTAGCAGGGAGCCTGATGCGGGACTCGATCCCAGAACCCCGGGATCATGACCTGAGCCGAAGGCAGACGCTTAACCATCTGAGCCACCCAGGCGCCCCAGGAGTATTTCCATTTAACAGAGAGGAAGGCTGAGGCCTCAGATCACTCATGGGGCGGGGATTTGAGTTGTTCTGGAGAGTTCTTTCTCCTAAGGATGGGGCTCCCTCGGGTTGGACCGGGTGGTGGGAGGGGGAGGCTGGGCCTCATTGGAGGAGGGGGGCCTGGACCTCATTGGACCCTGCTTGGCCCCTACCCTCCCCCTGCCCCGCAGCTGCGGGTCTTCAAGCTGGCCAAGTCGTGGCCAACGCTGAACATGCTCATCAAGATCATCGGCAACTCGGTGGGCGCTCTGGGCAACCTGACGCTGGTGCTGGCCATCATCGTGTTCATCTTCGCCGTCGTGGGCATGCAGCTGTTTGGCAAGAGCTACAAGGAGTGCGTGTGCAAGATCGCGGCCGACTGCAGCCTGCCCCGTTGGCACATGCACGACTTCTTCCACTCCTTCCTCATCGTCTTCCGCATCCTGTGTGGGGAGTGGATCGAGACCATGTGGGACTGCATGGAGGTGGCCGGCCAGGCCATGTGCCTCACAGTCTTCCTCATGGTCATGGTCATCGGCAACCTAGTGGTGAGTTAGGCCGGCTGGGTGGCTCCCCCCGCCCCCACCGCCAGGAAACCCAAGCGTCCGAAACATGTGCATTCAGTTATGTCCTTTAAATTGGGCTGTCCTTCAAGGGCCTTTGCCGCATGTGGTTAAATGGGATGAAATCAATGATACTGTAACGTATTCTACTTCCCCCACCCAAAAGGGCAATTTTATATGGTTTAACCCAGGGGCTCTCCAATTTTAACCTGCTTAAGAAGCACCTGGGAGTTTCTTAAAACCCAGATAGATTCCTGGCCCCACGTCCGCAGAGTTTGATTCAGCAGCTTGGGGGCCAGGGCCTGGGACTCTGCATTTCTAACCAACGCAGCTGTCGCTGGTCCAGAGATGACGCTGTGAGTAGTACCGTTGAAACCTAGTGTTTGGGGTAAAGTAACATGATAACTGGAGTCAGACAGACCCACGTTCCAGGCCCAGCTCTGTGTGACCTTGAACAAGCGACTGCTCTGTGGTCAGCTGGGTGCGGGAAGGCGGCACGCGGGGTTGGCATCAGAACTCCCCAGCCTCCTGTCTCTCTCTCACCCTCTCACCCTCCTCCGTTCCTGGAATTGGGCCCCGGGAGAGGGGAGATGGCATAAACTGCTTTCATCCTACCACTTTCTGTGGCTCAGGGCTTCCCTGTGGGGCTGGTGCAGGGGAGGAGCTGCAGGGGGGCCCATGAGGAGCAGGGGTGCAGGCCGCCCTCATGCTGACCAGCATTTCTGTGGCTGGGGCCTGGGGTGGCGTGTCTCCACATCCTGACGCCCACAACTCCTGCCCTGCTCAGGGTGGGTGACACTTCTGCCAGGAGCCCTGTGCCCGGCTGCCCCCTGCCGTGGCCGACGCTGCCCTGAGCAACGGCGGGAGGGGGGGGCGGTGCTGGGAAGACGCACGTCCCCACGTTCCGCAAAGGCCGGTGGAATCCTTAGGCTGCTGGGTCAGCGCTTCTCAGATATCGCTGAGCTCTGGCTGGGGGTAGGAGTCGGCTGGAGGGGAGGGGTGTCACCTCCACTGAGGAAGAGACCCATGGATGAGGTCCATGCAGTCCCACATGGTCTCGATCCACTCCCCACTCCCCTGAGCCTCCAGAGACAGCTAGGCAGGAGAACCCCAGCTGGCTGTCCCTGGGAGAGGGCCTGGGGCCTGGGGAGAGAGAGAGAAGATGCCCCAGCAGAACTTTGGGGCGGGATTGGGATGGGTAGGTAGCTCTGAGTAGAAGGTAAGTTTAAGGGCCCAGCATGACTATAAAGGTCTGTTGGGTTTCCATCTGTACGTGTGTAAACTCAAAAGCATTGCAAGCCCCTGTTTTGCCACTTACTGACTGGGAAAACTTGAGACGTTATTTAACCTCTCTCTGGCCTTAATTTTTCTCATGAGGAAAATGGGGATGGTAATGGTGGTGACCCCCTTCAGCGTGTGGTCTGAGCACTCAGCAAAGCACTTGGTCTACAAGGCTGGGGCCAGGGGGTGGGGTGGAAAGTGACGTTCAGGTCCTCACCTTAGGTGTCACCCCACCCTCCGCAAGGACTGGGCTCCTGCCCTGCGCCCGTCCCCGTGCAAAGGGCTTTACATGCGTTATCCCTAATGCTCTCCCAACCCTGGGAGGGAGGTCAGGTCCGCGCCGCGCTCCGAGGAGCCCCTGCCCCAAACCACACAGCGAGGGTGAGACTGAGCCGGACTAGAACCTGGGTCTGCGTCACGCCAGTAACAGCATCAGTAATAGCAGCGGGGGTGAGAATGACGATGTCAACGGGGGCAGTAACAACGGCGACAGTTGACCTCTCTGTGCATTTGTCCAGCATTCTGAGAGCTTTCTGTGTATCCATCTCCCGATGCTCACACCGCCTGACCGCGACGTGCTGTTTCTTCTCTGGTTTGTAGATGAGGAAGCCAAGGCTCAGGGCAGGAAGCTAGTAACCTGCACAGGATTGGAACCCAAGCAGTCTGGCTCCAGAGTCTGGAACCCCTCCACTGCCTCTGTGTGCCTGTCACATGTGTGTCACTCCCCACACATGCATGCACACGCGTGTGAACACACACGTGCACGCACACACACCGCTGCTACTCCTTCCCAGCCCACTCTGCCGCTCTGCTCTCTTGCTTTGCTCAGAAGGACTGGAGCAGCCCGGGGAGGCAGCACTGGCAGCTCCTTGGGCGCTGTCCCCGCCCACTGCCCCCCCAGCCCAGGCCTCACGGAAGCTGGTGTCTGCCAGAGGGCACTGAGGCATCCTGCCAAGGAGTGTGGGGGCCCCATGATCCCTGCATGTGGCACTTGGGCACTTCCCCTGGGTTACTAGAAGAAGAGGAAATGACAAGGGCGTAGGTAACCCACCCCTCAGAGCCCCTGGGGGAACATGATGTCCATCCCCCTTCCCTCCAGGCCTCCTCCCTACGCCTTGCCTGAGACAGCTATTTCTGTCCCAGGCAGGAGCCGTGTGCAAACCCTGCTGACCCAGAGAGCAGTTAATTCCCATCTCAGATGTGTTTCTGGCAACTGGATGCCTCTCCCCCCCACCACCCCCGACAAAGGGAAAGAAAGACCAATAAATATTGGTTGGGAGCAAAGGCAGAAAAGTAGCTAGGGGGCAGAGAGATGGGGAGGAATCCCCCCAGCACCTTCTCCCCCAGTGTGTATATATAGATACACACACACTTTAAAGACATTATGCTAACACGGTAGGTAAGGCGATGGTAAAAAGACCTTGGAGGGCCCCCGGTAGAAGCCAGGCTGCGAGAGGCACGTAGAGAAGTTGGTCAAAGGTGGACACATATAGGCTCCCCTACTCCTTCATGTCCACTCACACACCCAGCCCTGTTCCAAGGTCCCCAGAGTAAGACCTGGCCCTGCCTCTGGCTGACAGGTGCCAGGACCCCCCACCCCAGCTGGGCTTCACCTTCCTCCTCGTTCCCTGGTAGAAGGTACAGCCACCGTACTGTACAACCTCTGGGGCTGCCATTCACATTGTAGTCTAAATGAATGATATCCTCTAAAGTTATGCAATGACTGGACACCTGGATTCTAGTCCTGATTGTGCTGGATGTCATAGGGCACGTCCCGCTACCTCGCTGGGACTCAGTTTCCTTATTAATAAAATGCTGAGCTGGCCTCAGAGTTAATCGTACTCTTTCCTGTACCTTGTACCTTCTGTCCTTGCACACGTAACAGCCAACATGTTTTGAGTGCCTACTGTGTGCTCTACTTATATTGATCTTTTAATCCTCACAACAATGCAAGGAGGTGGGTACTGGAATCATCCCCACTAATACCCATGAGGAAACGGAGGCATAGAGCAGCGATATGATTTGCCTCAGGACACATCGCTAGTAAACTGGGGTTCAAGGCCAAGCAGCATGTGCACCCCAGTGTCTACTGCCATGCAAACCCACTGCATTGTATCTGATCAAACGTCTGTCTCTACTAGGTTGGAGCTCCCTGACACCACAATGGGAGAGGCTCAGCAAACATCTGCCTCTGGAAAATAAGGCTGGAGACTGGAGGGGTAGACCAGTTACCTCCTAAGTCTTTCAGTAGGGAAATGGGAAGAAAACCAGGTGGAGCAGGGAATCCCGGGGAGAGAACAGGGGGTGAATAGCAGTAGGGTATGCCCTTCCCAGAGCAATGGGGTACATGCATCTGAGCACCGGGGAGCACAGGCTCTATTAACAGACAGGAAAAGAAGGCTCAGCTGATTCAGGGTCCCAATAAGTCCTGGGAACTCAAAGACGAGAGCCCTGTTCTTTGTTCTGCCTTCCCCAACAGTGGAGGTGGAAGACAGAGTCCTAGAAAGAGCCCCTGTCACCCAGTGGGCCTCCCCAAACCCTGCCTCTGCCATGGTCTTGCAGGCTCCTATCATGTGCCTAAGGCTCTACTTCTTTTTCTGCAAAGTGGGGGTGATAGTAACACTCCTCACCTCCCCGAGCAGTTGTGAGGATCCCAGTAGGTGATATCCTTTCAAATGCCCCACCTGTGGTAGGTCTGATCTGGAGACCTGAGGCCCCTGGTGCTGGCTGAAGGTGGCACCCTTGGGGGGGCCCCCGAGGCTGAGCTGAGGTTCCTCCCAACCCCTGTTCCCCAGGTCCTGAACCTCTTCCTGGCCCTGCTGTTGAGCTCCTTCAGTGCCGACAGCCTGGCCACCTCAGATGAGGATGGCGAGATGAACAACCTGCAGATCGCCATTGGGCGCATCAAGTGGGGCATTGGCTTTGCCAAAGCCTTTCTCCTGGGACTGCTGCACGGCAAGATCCTGAGCCCCAGGGAAATTATGCTCAGCCTTGGGGAGCCCGGGGAGCCCGGGGAGGCCGGGGAGAGCGCCCCAGAGGACGAGAAGAAGGAGCCGCCGCCCGATGAGGGCGACAAGGACCTGAAGAAGGACAATCACATCCTGAACCACGTGGGCCTGGTTGACGGCTCTCCCCCCAGCATCGAGCTGGACCACCTCAACTTCATCAATAACCCCTACCTGACCATTCACGTGCCCATCGCCTCCGAGGAGTCCGACCTGGAGATGCCAACGGAGGAGGAGACCGACACTTTCTCAGAGCCTGAGGATGGCAAGGTGAGCCCATCACAGGACCTGGCTTGAGGGGGCCAGGAGTCAGATAGACATGGCTTCGAGTTGTGACCCTAGAGAAGTCACAAATGCTCTCTGAGACTCAGTTTCTCCATCTGTAAAATTGGGGTAATGGCACCTACCTCAGAGCATGGTCAGGAGCATCAGGTGAGATGCTGTGTGTAAGCACATAGAAGGCTCTCTGTGCATGGTGACTGACGATTATTATTCCGATGGGCCCTGCCTGTCCTTCCCCAGTGTCCCTTCGCTCTGGTTCCGCACCTCCACCTGGGTTCCTGCTCACCAGCAGGTGGTGCTCTTGGACAGGATGTTCCTACCTGTGGCACCTTAGCTCCAGGGTGGGGACCCAAGAGGCCTCTCTTAACCCCGCTCCGAACTTGAAGTCGCTCCCACAATCCCACTGGGGCTGGTCCCAACCTCCTAGTGTGGGCCAAAGTGCTGGGTCTGGGCTGGGGACTCTGAGAGGTGGAGGGGCTTGGGGGGCCAAGGGGTTGGGTACAAGGAGAGCAGAGAGCTGGGCATCTCAGCAGTAGCCCTGACCCACCCACACAGGAGATGCCCCCTCCTCCTGCCCCTTCCCTGCGAGGGTGACGGAGGCACTGGGAGTCACCCCCAGAAGCTCAGGCTGAGGCCAGACCTTGCCTGAGCCTCTCAGGGGGGGCGGACTCTGAGCCGCAAAGCCTATCCTCCAGCTCTGGCAGAAGAAGGACTAGCACCTCAGGTAGGGCAGGGCCCCCTTCCATCTCTACCCTATCGGCCCTGGGCCTGGCTGGGCACTGGAGTCTCAAAGAACTTTGCTCTGAAAGCTCTTGACTCCTTATTCCCCCCAGATATGTGTCACGCTGACTTACCAAGGGGCCGAGTGCCTGCCAAGCTATAAATACCCAGGGAAATGTGGCACTGACCTCGGTATGAGGAGCGGAGGTGGGGGAGGGCTGGAGAGCACCCAGGGCCAAGGCTCTGGGGACTCTCAGGGGGGCAAACAAGGCTCCAAGGGGGACTGTGGGAGTTGGGACACGCAGGCAGGGCAAGTGGCTTAGTGGGTGCCCTGGCTGACCTAATGTCTGCCTCGGTTTCCCTTTCTGTCAGCTGGGCACAAGGGGACCTCCGTAATTTTCTGGTGACCATTCTGGATCCAGAGGCTGCCCCCCAAGCTGTCCTCTCCATCTTCCCCTTCAGGGACCTCAACTCCAGCCACGAAGGGGTCCCCTTGAGGAGGGGGGCTAGGGCCAGGAACCTGGCTTGGGACAGCACCAGCTGAGGTGGGGGAGGCCTGGCCAGGCCAGAGCCCCAGCCTACCCACCCTGCCCCCCTCCCATCGGCTTTCCTTGGCCCCAGGCTGGAGCTTCTGCAGGGGAAAGTTTTCCATTCCTTCCGGGCTCCTCAGCCCAGCAGCCCCTGGGCATGGGAAGGCTCAGAACTTGACCCTGCACACCATCCCCTGTGGGCTATGGCAGCCCTGGCTCCATTCTGACCCCTTTCACGCTCCCTCAAAAGTCCCTTCAGGCCTCTTATTCCTCCGCTGCCCCCACCCCACGCTTCCCAGGGCCCCCAGCCCAGCTCAGCCACGCCCAGCCTCCTCCCTCACCTGAGGCCCTCACCTGCCTCCTTGTGTCCTCACATCCCTTCCCAGGCCTCGGCCTGCCCTGCTCCAAATCGAAGCCCCGCGAGGGCAGAACCATAGCTGCCTTGGTCACTGTGGTTCTCCTGCAGAGGCCACAGTGCGGGCTCCATAATCCGGGGCTCAGGGAATGAATGAATGATGAATGAACGAGTCGGTCAGCTCCACCCCCTCTTTCTCCTCTCCCATCTGGTCTCCCATCCTGCCCTCTGCTGGTTCACCTGGTGGGAGGACCCAGGGCTCACGTGACCCCGTGGTCCCCTGCAGAAGCCACCGCAGCGCCTCGATGGGAACTCCTCCGTCTGCAGTACCGCCGACTATAAGCCCCCTGAGGAGGACCCCGAGGAGCAGGCTGAAGAGAACCCCGATGGGGAGCAGCCTGAGGAGTGCTTTACGGAGGGTGAGGGCGAGCCCATGTGCGTGTACCCCCACCACCTCGCCTGGTGCCTCCCCCAGCCCAGCAGCCCCTGGAAGGGACAGACCAGGCCAGGGCCTTTGGGGCCCAACAGCCCTGACCCAGCCCCAGCCAAGTGCCTCCTCGAGGACATCTCAGGATCATGTGCATCACCGAAAGCATGCAGAACTTCCCGTCCCCCCCCACCTCCCCACCCCGCACCAACATGCTGCCCTGCCCTGACACAGCCTGGGGGAGATACAGCCCCAGGGAGGGGCGCCAGAGCCCGGATGCCTCCCAGCCCCTGAGCCCCTGAGCCTCAAGCATGTGCGGTGGGTGCACACCCGCCCCTGAGGACTGCCGTGCGGAATCCCCACGGGGCCCTGAGTGTGACCCCGTGCTTGGGGATGGCCAGTGCTTGGGAACGGCTGCTCGAAGACCGTTACCCTCCTCGGCTTCATCTGCAGAGAGAGGCCAGCCCAGCCCTTCAGGAGAGAGCCCTGCGGACACACTGTTGCCCCCAGGGCCTGGGCTGGGCAGCATGAAGGCCATCAGGGAGAGGTGGGGAGGATGGGATCAGCCGATCCCCGGCAAGGCGGTGGGCACACGCTGGCTGCACGTCCTGAGGCAGCCCCCAGTCCTGTGATGTGGTGCCCTGGCCCCTTCCCTCCCCCAGCCTGCGTGCAACGCTGCCCTATCCTCTACGTGGACATCTCCCAGGGCCGTGGGAAGATGTGGTGGACACTCCGCAGGGCCTGCTTCAAGATTGTCGAGCACAATTGGTTCGAGACCTTCATCGTGTTCATGATCCTGCTCAGCAGCGGAGCCTTGGTAAGCACCGCCCTGGGGGACGGGCGTGGGCAGAGGCAGGTGCCAGGCCCAAAGGAGGCCCTCCCAGGCTCCCTCCTTCCCACATCATGGGAGGGACAAGGCCCGGGCAGTCTGGACCCCAGAGAATCCTAAATGGACTCACTTGTGGTTGCCGGATATGACGTAGAAAATGTTCATTTTCTTAAAGCGACAGGCGGGGTCCCACTCTGTGTGCACCCCCAGTGATAGGTGCCAGCCAGGGCAGAAGTGGGAAGGCCCTGGGAATGTTGAGGTGCTTGGGTGGGGGGCGGTCAGGGTTGAAGATGTGTCATGGTGCTGGCCCCCAAGCAGATGACTGTCACCCCTGGGGAAGGGCTGCTGAGGGGTTTCTCCCCAGGGGTCTGGCACCCGTGGGCCCTGGGGAGTCTGGGAGAAGCCAGCCGCCTGCCCCTGGCCTGGACCCAGTGCCAGACCCCTGGGAAGCCCCAACAGCAGGCAGGGTGGGGGACGTGGTTGCTGCCCCGGCCTCCCGGGCCCCGGCCACCCCGGCCATGCTGGCGTCCCCAGGCCTTCGAGGACATCTACATCGAGCAGCGGCGAGTCATCCGCACCATCCTGGAGTACGCGGACAAGGTCTTCACCTACATCTTCATCCTGGAGATGCTGCTCAAGTGGGTGGCCTACGGCTTCAAGGTGTACTTCACCAATGCCTGGTGCTGGCTCGATTTCCTCATTGTGGATGTGAGTCTGCCCCGGGGGATGTGAGCCAGATCCAGAGGTGGCCCTGAGGCCGAGGGGCTTAGAAAGCCCTGGCCTTGAGGCCCTTCCTGCCCTGACCAGCCCACCCTCCCTCTGCAGGTCTCCATCATCAGTCTGGTGGCCAACTGGCTGGGCTACTCGGAGCTGGGTCCCATCAAATCCCTGCGGACGCTGCGGGCCCTGCGTCCCCTGAGGGCGCTGTCCCGATTTGAGGGCATGAGGGTGGGTGCCGAGGGCGGGCTCTGAGGAGGGCTAGGGGTTGGGGGAGCAGCCTCCGCAGAGCAAGGTGCAGGGGGCGCAGGTCTGTACTCCAGCCACCACGGGGGGGAGGAGAGGCCTCAGACTCTGGGCCCCGCTGAAGGCAAGATCTGAGGGCCCCCAGACATCCTCCCACACCACCCAAGGGCCCCTTCCGGCCCTCAGCCCCTCCGGAGCTCCTCCCTGCCACCGCTGGGGGACAGCAGAGGCTGCATCAGCTCCCAGGGGGGAGCTGTGAGGGCACGGGGGTAGGGAGGGAGGAAGGGAGGCAGGTCGATGGGTGTATAGGCATTCCTCCCCAGCCTCACACCAGGGCCGCCAGGGCTCTGAGACCTGGGTGAGCCGGTGGGTCCTGTGCCTGGCCTCTGAGCCTGCCCACCCTTCCCTCAGGCCCTTGAGAACAGAAGTGACGGTAAATAATAGAAGCTTTGGCTGAAACAATTGGGACCTCCCCAGCCAAGAGAGGTCTGTTGGGAACAAGACCCACTTGGAGGGACAGCTGGTCACAAGCCAACAGGGCACTCAGCCAGAGGGGCTCCCTCCTATTCATGCAAGGGGCCAGCCAATGCTGGGTCCTCCTGCCCCCAGAACCAGGGACCCCTCCTCCCCGAGGGGAAATGACCTGCCCATGCAGCTGGTTGGTGCCCCAGCCAAGAATAGAGCTACCCCGGGCCTTACCAGGTCTGTGCCACCCACTCTGTCTGGAGGTCATGAAACAGCATCTCCTTGAAAAAGCACAATTCTCAGATTTGGCCCAGCCTGACAGAGTGAAGTTGGCCTGTGCAGCCAGGGCTGGGGAGTGGGGCACAGGGTCCTGCCGCTTTGAAGACCCACGATGGCTTCTTTTCGGTCTCTGTGTCTCTAATACTGGGAGCAGATGAGGAGGGGGCCGGGTCACAGGGGCTGAGTTTCCTATGGGGGCCGAGATAGGAGTGTTTGTCTCCTGCCTAGTGACCCGTGGCCAAGCTGCTTCCAGAGAAGCCTAGTGCCCCGACTCTGGGCTGATGGCTCCAGCCAAGCAGAGAGCTCTCTTCAACCATAGGCCAGCAGCACCCCCAACCCTACTCCTCACTTCCCCACCCCCACCCCCCAACCTAGAGCCCAGCAGACTTCTCCCCCAGGCCTGGCTCAGAGTGACCCTCCTCCAGGAAGCCTTCCCTGAATAACAATGCCCAGCCTTGTCTGGTGCCCTGGTTAGTGTAGGTGGGGAGCCCTGTCCCAAAGGGGCCTGGGTAAAGACCTGGGAATGACCCCCCCCCGCCCCCCAGGTGGTAGTGAATGCCCTCTTGGGAGCCATCCCCTCCATCATGAATGTGCTGCTTGTCTGCCTCATCTTCTGGCTCATCTTCAGCATCATGGGTGTCAACCTGTTCGCCGGCAAGTTCTACTACTGCATCAATACCACCACCTCTGAGAGGTTTGACATCTCCGAGGTCAACAACAAGTCCGAGTGTGAGAACCTGATGCACACAGGCCAGGTCCGCTGGCTCAACGTCAAAGTCAACTATGACAACGTGGGTCTAGGCTACCTCTCCCTCCTGCAGGTGGTAAGTGTGACCTGCTGCCCTCGCACAAAACTGGGAGCACTCCCAGATTTGTGTTGTACCTGAACCCACCGTTACTCCTTGTTAGGAGGCCCCCACCTGCTCCCAGTGCTGGGTAGTATCTAGACCTCTCTGGTCTCTGTGTGACGCCTGCCCCGTGGGGCCCTGGGGAGGCCCAGGCTGGGGTGAGGAGGGAGACTCATGGATGGTGGAAACGGCAAACAGCCCCTCTCCTCACACCCAACCACACTCTCCCAGGCCACCTTCAAGGGCTGGATGGACATCATGTATGCGGCCGTGGACTCCCGGGAGGTGAGTGGGCCTCACCAAGACGTGGCCGGTGAGTGAGCCCGGGGAGAGGACGCAACCAGAGACACAGTGGCAATTCTGCCCATCCCCGGCCCCACGCCACCTCCTCAGAAGCCCCCAGACTCGGCAGCCTAGGGGTGGAAGGGCCCACCTCTGGGCCCCAGGCCCTCCTTGCCCACAGTGAGATGGGGAGCAGGGGGCAGCCAACATGCCCCCCCCAACCTCCCCATCCCACCCCGTCCCAGCCTGTCCTGTCCTGTGGCCTCTGCAGAAGGAAGAACAGCCCCAGTATGAGGTGAACATCTACATGTACCTCTATTTTGTCATCTTCATCATCTTTGGGTCCTTCTTCACCCTCAACCTCTTTATCGGCGTCATTATCGACAACTTCAACCAGCAGAAGAAGAAGATGAGTATCCCACCTTCCCTGGGCTCCATCCTCCCTCCTTCGCTCACCCGTCCCCTGGGATAGTCCCACGTGCCGCCTCAGCAGCTACTGTGGCGTGACTGAGGCAGCAAGCCCGGGTTCAGACCCTCCCCGGCGACCGTGAGAGAGGGACTAGGCCTCTGTGAGCCTTGGTTACCTTGTTAAGAAACGAGGCTGATGCTCCCTACCCAGCCGGGTCATTCAGAGGACCCATCGAGATACGATGGCGAGTGTCTGGCCCCAAACAGGCGATGAGCCGGTGCTGGTCCTCTTCCAGACTCTGTCACCCCGCACCCCTCCCTCCTTTCTCTGGACCCCGCAGACCCCCATCCCCTTCCTCCCTCCCTCAGCCCCCATCTCTGGCCCCTCCGGGTCCCCTGCTGGGGTGCGGGCTGCTTTAAGGGTGGGGCCTGAGGTGGGGAGGCCCTGGAGGCCGAGAAGAGGGGCCTCTGGCCTTACAGACACCATCCTACTATACTTCGGAGGGAAAGACATCTTCATGACGGAGGAACAGAAGAAATACTACAATGCCATGAAGAAGCTTGGCTCCAAGAAGCCTCAGAAGCCAATTCCCCGGCCCCAGGTACCGGCCCTCTGAGCCCCTCCTCCTGCGGCCTGGATGAACCTTCTGCCCAAGGGGGCCCCTGGGGGCAAAATGCAGGCTGTCCTCCGCCCACCAGGTGGTGTCCCTGGCGTGAGGCTGGGTCCCCATGCTGGAGAGCTTGCTTCTTTGTAACCGCCCTGAGGCACTGCGTGGGGGGGCAGCAGCAACCTGATAAACCCCAGTCGCTGGTTCGCCCCCAGTGTCGGCCCACCCCTTCAGCGGGTGGCCTCTGGGGCAAGGGCCCCTGGAAGCGGGAGGAAGAGGATGTCCAGACACCCTCCCTCGTGAGCAATGACTTCGGGAGAAGGATGAGAGGTTGCCGGGGGACCTTGAGAGGAGGAAGCGTCCTAGAGTGAGGAGGAAGCCCACGGACCCCCCAGAATGGCTTGTCCGGATGGGTCTCCCCTCCCTGCCGTGGCCGACTCTGCCACAAGCCCTAACACCTCCTCCCCCCCGTCTCTGTCTCTCTCTCATGCTGTTGTGTCATCCTGTGTCTCCTGCCTGTCCACATCCTGTGTGGGTCCTGACCACTGACCCCCCAAAATCCACCCACCTGCACCCCCGCACCCCTCCCACGCTGCAGAACAAGCTCCAGGGCATGGTGTACGACTGCGTGACCAAGCAGGCATTCGACATCACGATCATGATCCTGATCTGCCTCAACATGGTCACCATGATGGTGGAGACGGACGACCAGAGTCAACTCAAAGTGGACATCCTGTACAACATCAATATGGTCTTCATCATCATCTTCACCGGCGAGTGCATGCTCAAGATGCTCGCCCTGCGCCAATATTACTTCACCGTCGGCTGGAACATCTTCGACTTCGTGGTCGTCATCCTGTCCATCGTGGGTGAGCGGGGCCGGGCCGGGCAGACTCACTCAGGGAGGCCTACCGCTCCCGTCCTTGCGTTCACGCACCTGCTCTTGCACGTGGAAAGCTCACACATGCATGTACAAGGACACACGGGCTGCCTATGCACATCACACCTAATGCACAAAAGGCACATGGGCCGGGCTCACAGGCAGTCTGTCACCTGCACACCCACGCATACACTTCTAGAAACCAGTAGATGCACACTCGGGTGCCCGTGAGCCCAGTGGAAGACAGAAGATGGTTCCAGTCTCCATACACACAGAAGTGCACAGACGTGTGTAATCATGATAGCAACTAACCACCATTTACTGACCATTTACTATTTGCCTGACACTGTGCTATCCCAGGAGGTAGGCACTGTTACCACCTCTGCTTTACAGATGAGGAAACTGAGTCACAAACAAGTCACGCTCCGAGTCACACACACAGCTGTCCTCCCTCTCTGTCTCATCTGGGGCATCTACAAACAGCCTTGGGGGTCGGCTTACCCTGAACCCCATCAACTTGGGCACATCTCACCTCCTTCCGGCTGTGTCAGGGCAGAGCAGAGCCCCTGGCCCCAGGACCCTGGGGGAGCCCAGCCTCATGGGTCAGGCCATTTGGACTGTGCTTCTCTTGCTCGCTTCTGGGGAGGAGCATACCAGGCCAGGCCCCCTTGAGCCCTGCATTCGCCCCACCCCCCGCTCCCTGACCCCGCCTCCTACCCCACGGACAGTGCTCCTCACACTTGCTCCCTGCAGGCCTCGCGCTCTCCGATCTGATCCAGAAATACTTCGTGTCCCCCACACTGTTCCGAGTGATCCGCCTGGCCCGGATTGGGCGTGTCCTGCGGCTGATCCGTGGGGCCAAGGGCATCCGGACTCTGCTCTTCGCCCTCATGATGTCCCTGCCGGCCCTCTTCAACATCGGCCTCCTCCTCTTCCTGGTCATGTTTATCTACTCCATCTTCGGCATGTCCAACTTTGCCTACGTCAAGAAGGAGTCGGGCATCGATGACATGTTCAACTTTGAGACTTTTGGCAATAGCATCATCTGCCTCTTCGAGATCACCACGTCGGCTGGCTGGGACGGGCTCCTCAACCCGATCCTCAACAGCGGGCCCCCCGACTGTGACCCGACACTCGAGAACCCGGGCACCAGCGTCAGGGGTGACTGTGGCAACCCCTCCATCGGCATCTGCTTCTTCTGCAGCTACATCATCATCTCCTTCCTCATCGTGGTCAACATGTACATCGCCATCATCCTGGAGAACTTCAATGTGGCCACCGAGGAGAGCAGCGAGCCCCTCGGCGAGGACGACTTCGAGATGTTCTACGAGACATGGGAGAAGTTCGACCCCGACGCCACGCAGTTCATTGCCTACAGCCGCCTCTCAGACTTCGTGGACACCCTGCAGGAGCCGCTGAGGATCGCCAAGCCCAACAAGATCAAGCTCATCACGCTGGACCTGCCCATGGTGCCGGGGGACAAAATCCACTGCCTGGACATCCTCTTTGCCCTCACCAAGGAGGTCCTGGGCGACTCTGGGGAAATGGACGCTCTCAAGGAGACCATGGAGGAGAAGTTCATGGCCGCCAACCCCTCCAAGGTCTCCTACGAGCCCATCACCACCACCCTCAAGAGGAAGCACGAGGAGGTGTGTGCCATCAAGATCCAGAGGGCCTATCGCCAGCACCTGCTCAAGCGCACGGTGAAGCAGGCGTCCTACATGTACCGTCACAGCCAGGACGGTAGTGGGGACAGTGGCCCAGAGAAGGAGGGCCTGATCGCCACCACCATGAGCAAGATGTACGGCCACGGGAATGGGAACAGCGGCGTGCCGAGCACGGGTGAGGAAAGGGGCTGGACAGGGGACACCGGACCTGCCATTGGGTTCACGCCCATGAGCCCCTCGGATGCTGCCCTCCCTCCCTCCCCACCCCTGGGGCAGACAGTGCGCCCGGGGGTCAAAGAGTCTCTTGTCTAGTAGCAGCAGCGAGGTAGCCAGCTGAGCCTGGCACAGCCCCCCAAAACTCACTCATGGTACCTGCTTGCTGAGGGAGCAGGCTTTGAGTCTACCGCTGACCGGCTCCCTGTCGGGGACAGGTTGTGGCCACGCTGGGGCTGACACCCAGGCCATGGAAAATGGGAATTGCCCTCGGAGGCTCCACCCTGGGCCTGAGGCTCCCCCCACCTCCCCCCTGCTTCCCTGGTTTCTCACTTCAAGTTGCTCTCACCCCCTCACGGGCCTCTCCTCTTGGGGGAGGTTGGAACACCAGAGATCTCTGCCCCCCACGCGGGGGAGGAGCCAGCCTACAGTGGAGGGATGAGCTGTCGTCTTGCCACCAGAGTCTTAAGGGCTACAGGCCCCCCCAGGCCTCTCCCGGATAAAGATGTCTTAACTCAGTGAGAGCGGACACCTGACCCAGGGCCTGCCAAGCCTCCCCTGACTGGGATACAGCTTCGTCCTGCCAGCCCACGAATTTCCTGGAGAAGAGAAACGTCACTGGTCCACAAGTGGCTCCCCGAGTCCGATTGGCCACTGGATCCTGATGCATCTGGCGGGGCTTGTGGCCCCTGAAACCACATCCCGCTTTGTCCATTGTGCAGCCCCTGGCTCCCTGGCTGGCCCCTGGGGGAAGAGCTGGAGGGAGGAGTCCACTCAAGAACCATCTTCTTCTAGGAAGCATGGCGGGTTGATAGAGGTGGGGTCCCGCCAGCCGCATCACTGCACAGGAGGCTTCCTTGGCCAGAGCGCCCAGACCTGGGGCGGGGGCAGGGACCCTGGAGCTCAGGAGGTAGATTTCCCCGATCAGCACCACAGGGCTCTCTGTAGCCTCACCCAGCCTCATCCCCCACCACACCCATCTCTTCCTCCCTCCTCATCCTTCTCTCCCCCTCCTCAAAGTGGTCCCAAGAGTGTTGTCGCCGAGCCCATGTTAGACATTTCAACCCTGGGACATGCACAGCTCACCTGGCTCCGGTCCCGCTGCCTGGCACGCCAGGCAGCATCTTTGTTGGTACCACTGGTCTGGGTGTGGCCGTGCCAGGCCTCTTCTGTCGCTCAGAGAACGGACGGAGGCCGAGCCCAGAGGGGGCAGTGAGACACCTGCTCAGGCGTCACTGGATTTACTCACGTGCGCGTGTGCCTTGTGTCTGCTTCACGCCTGTGTGTACAGCTGCGTGTGTGCTCAAGCCCACGAAGCACTGTGTCCCGCCTGTGTGTGTGTGTATTGTGTCAATGTGCCTCTGTAGTCTGGTGTGTGTGTGTGTGTGTGTCCTAGGCAAGTGTGCCTGTGCTGTGTGGATGAGTGTGAACGTGTCTGGTAAGGCTTGCACGTTGAGTCCCCGTTGCCCTTAGTTCCTCTTCTCTCTCTTGTTTCTTGTGAACAGTTTGATTAAAACTCAGGAAGCAGCGAAACCTCCAAAACAACGTGGGTGTGTGGGTGTGGGTGTGTGTGGGTGTGTGCCTGTGTGCGTGCGTGTGCCCACAGGCTGGAGCCTTCCTTTCTGTCTGCCCTACTCTCTGGCCTCCTTGCCACCCATTGTCCCTTCTTCCTATTCCGTTCATCACACCCATTGCCCCAGCCCCACTCCCCGTCTCTTGCCTGTGTCCTCCGTGGAAAGGAGGCCCTACTCCTTCTACCTTCCTGCAACCGTCTGTCTCTTGCTTCAGAAGATGCGCCCTAGAGAGGGCAGCCTCCTCCCTGACCAGCACCCTGCCCCCTGCCCTTCCCTCAAACTGGGGCCCCAAACTGGGGTGGCCCAAAGAGCCTCTGCATCTGTTGGACTGGATACTCACCACTGGACTTCATACAGACTGCAGAGCCTCCCCTGCCTATGGCCCCCTCCCCTGCACACCCACACCCATTCCCACTCTGTCTGGGTGGGAACAGACCCAAGCCAGGCTGGCAGGCAGGCTCCTTTGTACAGTTCTTATAATAAACCTTCCCCGCCCACCCCCCTCCCCGGGTGCCTCTCATGTGCAGGCTTCTTCCTTCTGCACCTCCTTGTGTGGACGTTGACAGGGTCTGAGGGCTGCTAGAAGCAAGAAGGGCTGGTGGGGATTGGAGCCAAATGGGGAAGACTTGGGGGACCTCAGGGTGGGTAGAGGGCAAGATAAGGAGGGCCCCAACTCCCTTTCTGGCCCAGTCCAGCTCTCTCCTGCCCCCCCCCTCCAAAAGGAGACTTGGGTTTTGAAAATTAATAAAGGGAAGCCTCACTAAAACGGAGTTGGGAGGTTCAGCTGGGGGAGCTGTCAGGCTCCACCGCTCCTCATCAATTGCAGACCCAAGAGGAGGAGGTGGACCTTGCAGTGGCTACCACTTTACTATCTGGCAGGGAGAGGAAAGGCTTTCCTCCTGCCCTGGCAACAGCCCAGCCAATGAGAGACACTCAGAACTCAGCCAATGAGAAGCCACCACACTCCCTACTCCCACTTTCCTCCAATAGACTTTGTGTTTACAACAGCCTTCCCAAAGTCCCCCTTTCCTCTATAAAGGAGCCGGTTCTCCCCTTCGTGGCGGTGCCTCTAGTTTTGCCTAGCTTGCTTCTTTGGTCTTGCAATTCTCTGCTCTTCCCGAATTAACCCGTCTTTTGCCGGTAAGATAAGTGGCAGTTTTATTTTTAAGGTTACAGCTCCAACCTCTTAGCTGGAGTCCAAGACGCCAGGTGAGGTTAGGGGTCGTGGCCCCCTCCCCAACGGGCAGTGCCACGCTCCCCCCCCCCCCCCCCCGCTCCATGATGGTGCCCAGGAAATGGCGTTGGGACCGAGTGGCCCCAGCACCTCCTCTCTAAAAGCCTCCTTCGCTTCTCTGCGTCCCCCAGGGGCCTCGAGGTGCCTAAGGGACACCCCTCCTCACAGATACTGTCCCCCTAAGGACCCTACCTCTGGCCTCTGACCTCAGAGAGCCCAGGGTCCCGTGGACCTGTGACAATGAGTAGTATGATGTCGTGAGCTAAGTCCACAGTCCTGGTGGGTGAAATAGCTTTATATATACTTTTGTTTTCTACAACTTGATTTCTGACTCCCAGGGCTGTATTTGTCCAAACTAGGAAACACTTCGTCCTATACAAGATTTCTACACCCTCTTTTCCTGGCTCATAGCACCTGTGCGGGCGCGGGAGGGCCACCACAGGCTACCCTGACGTCCTTCAGCCATATTCCTGAGGCCCCTTCCCTCCTTGCTGTTCTCTATGCGTGGGGAGAGGGATCCAGCATCCCTGCAGGGTTCTGAGCTCTCCCACCGGGGTGCTGACCTCCCTCCCTGGGGCGGGGGGCTCCTTCTCACTCTGTTTCTCCACACTGCGCCTGGGGCTTCTCCAGCTCCAAGGACAGGAGAGCTTGCAGGGTGCCCTGGCCCACCCTTCCTCTGAGCCTTGACTAGTGCAGGAAGAGAGGCAAAATACTAGATGAAAAACAAAAGCCAATATTTCAAAATCATCCCCCCCATCAGCTATCAGCTGGCCCCAGTGCCTTTGCCAATGCCCCGGGGGTGGGGTGGGACCACTCCTCACTGAGAACCACCAGGTAACTTGGGGCGGCTTTCTGGCTGCTGCACTACAGGGCCAGGAATCAAGCCTACCTCCTTCTTAGCCAGCGGGCCTCCACCCTCCGCCACAGAACAGCAAGCCCAGCAGGGCCAGGCAGAGTGGATTGGGGGAGGGGCGGAGGTCTGAGCCCCTCCTTCCAAACTGAGGTTCTGCCCTCTCCCACCCTCCCCTGGGGTGCTGGGGGTTCCTGACCTCCTGCTTCCTCAAACTCCTAAGCCCCTTGTCCCCTCTCCCTCCACCCCCATCTCTTGTCTTGAAAGCTGCCTTCCTGGAAAGGGGAGGTGGAGGCTGCCAAATGTTGGGGTGTGCAGCCCAGGGTAGCCGGGGGCAGAGGCGGGAGCGGGCTTATGGGGCCTCCTGTTCCAGGAAAGAAAAGGCGTCACAACCCGAGACAGAACTCTGTGCTGTTGTCACCGGAGAAGGAACAGCACAGCCCCAGCTGTGACAAATAACCCTGCAGGCGGTGGGGGCCCCACTGCTTCCACCCACTCCTGAAAATGGATCCCTGCCAGGCATGAATGGGAATGAAGTCCAAAGACCACATCTGCATGCCTGCCCACAGGGGATGTGGGTGTGTGGGTGTGTTTGGAAGATGCCATCTGCCCCCCAACCTCCGTGCCCCCTGTAGTCACCCTGGGCCCCGGGCCCAGCTCCTGAGCAGGACCCACACCACGCAGCCGAGGCAACACATCGTGTGAGCATACACGTGCGTGGGCGCGCGCGCACACACACACAGATGTGTGTGCCCCAAGTCTTCCCCAATTATCTTCCCAACTTTGGGGGGACACTAGCTCCAAAGCTAACCAAGGTCTCCATCATGAGGAAGTACTTTGCTAAAGGAAGAAACCCCTGGATTTTCCCCCCATTCCTCTGGGGGTTCTCCTATCACCCCCCAACCCCAGCACAAGGGGCCTGTGGTCCCCAGGCTGACCTCAGGTGATGTTTATATTCCTGGGTTGTTTGTTCTGTGAACTGAACATCTGACGCCTTTTCAGAGAAATGTTTTTTTTTTTTTTCATTTGGAACATCTGGAAACAGCAAGAACATCTGGGACTGCCAGGAACGAGCTGTTCCTTGGGTGAAACCTAAACCCTCCTGTCACTGTTTTCTATAGCTCTGGTCCTGGCCCGCACTCCTTGGCGGTGGCCCCTACCATCCAGGTGAGGCCTGTGTCCACAAGGATTGAGGGGGTACCACCCAGACCCCTGCCTTTCTCATTGCCAACCCTGGCATGGAGCAGGTCCACGTCTCTCTAAACCCAAACAGACCCACCACTAATGTAGGCTGTTTGAAAAATGGAGGGTGGCAGGGAGAACGAGATATAGGCAGAAGACACATAGGATTCAGCATCCTTCTTGCCCTCCTGGGAGTTGGGAGAAAAGAGGGATTGAGGGGACAAGAGAGAAAAAGGGGGAAACATAAAACTCAGAGTGGGCTTGGCTGTGGGGCTGAGGTATGCAAGCCTGCCATGTGTGGTTGTGCAGGTTGTGCACTGCACAAGGGCAGCCCTGACAACCGCCCCCCCCCCCGGCCCCGGCCAAAGGTGCAAAAGTTATGTCTGACTCAGGGACACAGACAGGAACTCAGACAAGTTTCTGGACGCTATGATTCCATCCACTGCTCTACTGACTGGCAAGATAAAGCCAGAGAGCTTTTGAGTGTCAGAACCTGGAGGTTTCCCCGCACTAGGCTCCTGTCCCCTACCCAAGACCTGGGAGCTATGGACAACTCCCTGGAAGTCCCCTGATTCCTGAGTGGTGGGTTTTTTCTAAGCTGTCTCTACCTAAGTCCACCCCCTTTGGCAGCTTCTAGCAAATTCTCTCACCAAGTGAGGGAGGGAGGCCTCTTGCCAGGGTCTGGCCAAGTAGCTGCCACATCTGGCTCTTGCTCAAGAACTTCTGTGGCTCCCGGCCTCCACAGGGACAAATCATCAAGCCCCAACATGGCTGCCTGCGCTCCAGCCAAGAGGCTGCCCGCTGGGCCCCTCCAGGTGCCAGGCCTGGGCCCAGTATAAGTACCCCCACCATCCCCAGCACCCCTGCACCACCCTTCCTTGGTGCCTCTCTTCCTGCAGAGTGCAAGCCGGCCCAGAGCCGAGGAGCTGGGCTCGCATTCACCCCCAGGACCCGGGTGTCTTCAGCTAAGGGCCTGGGAACCTAGACTGCGCCATGGAAGCCTGGGGACCCCAGGACAGGACCGTCAGTGGGGTGGGGGTGCGGGGAGGGGAGCACAAGATGCCCTCGGATGACCCAGTGGCCCTTGCCTCCCAGAGTCATCCACTGTGGTGCCCTGTGAGCCTTAGCTGCACAGCTGACAAGAGAGCCCGCCCTCCCCAGGGTCCCAGGAGAGCTGGTGCCTCCCCTGGGTCCCAATTTGCATGGCAGGAAGGGGCCTGGTGGGGAAGAGGCAGGGAGGGGACGGGCTGCAGCCCAGGCAGTTACACGTTTCCCCCCAGGAGCCTCTGTCCTAGCCACCAGCTTGGGGTCCAGGACGGAGCGGTGAGCATGGCCGGGCTGCTGCGCCCTGCGCCTGGCACCTGGCTGGTACTGTTGCTACTTTCAGGTACGCCGCCCCCCTGAAGCGGGCCCCCACCCCACCCCCCACCCCCACCCCCGGGGGCTGTTCGGCCTTTCTGTTCTGTGTCCCCCTCTCTCCAGCCCCCGCCTTCTGTCTCTCCCACTTTCTGCCTCCTGTCTCCCTCGGACCGCCCTGGGGCCTGGGTCTGTGGGTGTCACCCCGCTCAGTAGCTCTGGCCTGTGGGGCCCCGGCCCCTCTTCTGCTTAGAGGGTGTCCGGCTGAGCTGGGGGCGAGGGGCTGGTGTCTAGGACGGGGACGGAAGAAAGGAGTATGGTTTACCCCAGTCCCTCGGGGGCTGTGTGTGTGTGTGTGTGTGTGTGTGTGGTGGGGGGGGCGGGGGACATGGGAGAGAGGCTGCCCCCAACCAGACCCTGGGATGTGCATGTTCCAGAAATGGTCCCCTGGTCTGGAAGACAGTTGTGACCTTCCTCCCATCTCATCCCGGTGTCTGCTCAAGGCCAGCCGACAGGCCCAAGGCAGGAGGGGGACTGGGAGGTGGATTTCTGGTGACTCTTCCCCACTCCAGTCTCTCCAGAGCAGTGCCAGGGAGGGCTGAGGTCTCTTGACCTTGATGTCCCTGGAGGAGGAAGTGGGTCTAGGAATGTAGGGGCCGCAGGGGTGGGGCAGCCAGTTTCCAGTGGAGAGCCCTGGCCCAGTCCCGCCTACTTCCTCCCACCCAGCAGGTGTGCCTGCAGCCAAAACAGAAGACAAGTACCCGGATCCCAAAGGTCAGCAACTTCCCCTGCCCCTTCTGGGGGCAAGTATGTGTGTGTCCAATGCTGGTCCTGGTCCCAGGGGCTGTCCCATGGTGGCCCCTGTGCTCTTGTTCCCCCGGATGTCCCCAGCCAGGACACCCATCTCTAGGCTTCCTTAGGGTCTCCATCTCAGAGGCCTGGTTCCGAGGCCCCCCCCAGCACCCCTCCTGCCAGCTGTCACCCTCATTAGACATAAGCGCTCCAGTCCCAGCAACTAAGGGGTGTGGCTCAACCCGGGGTGGGAGGGGGGAAGCCAGAGGGAATTGCACCGAGGACTCAGGCTGGGTCTGTCTAGCTGGGTCAGACTCAGCCTCGGAAGGAGCCTGTAACCCTAGGGGCTCCGACAGGCCACAGGGCCTCAGAGATTCCCAGGGGTCTCTCACTGGGAATGCTGGGAACAATGCAGGAAGGGGGCTTCTTGGAGCAGGTGGGTGGGAAGAGCTCGCCAAGCTGAGAAAGAAGGTTTAGGAATCAAAAAGTGGGAGCACCAGGCCAGGTGGGAGGCTGCCCTATGGGCAGAGGCCCCAGTGGGTGAGGCCTAGATCACGCAGCTGTATGGGCATGGAAAGGAATTGGAAGGTTCCAGAGGCCTTCTACAGGAAAATCAAATGTTGGGGTGGGGGCAGTCGGCAAGGGGCAGGACACAGTGGTTTGGCCTGCGGCCACTCATGGGGCTCAGCTCCCACACACCTCTGCCTCATGACTGTCCCATGCCCAGGAGCAAGGACAGACGAAGGGGGCAGAGCTGGGGTAGCGGCACGAGGGGAGGGGCCCACGGCGGGGCAGGCAGTCAGGAAGATGCTCCGCGGGATGCTGATCCCGGCCTTGGCGCCCACAGGAAGCGCTTGCTCCAGCATCTGGCAGAACCCACGCTTCATAGCCCGGAAAAGAGGCGCCACAGTGGAAATCAGGTGCCACGCAAAGGAGTTGGGAACCGTGAGCTGGCTCTGGAAGCAGAAGATGGAGTTGGAGCCCAAGCCGCTGCTGGACGAGGGCCGCATCCTACAGAGCCAGAACGGCTCCATCTTCACCCTCACCATCAAAGGCATCCAGTTCCAGGACAACGGCATCTACTTCTGCCAACAGAAGTGCCCGGAGGGGTCCCTCAGCAAGGGCTGCGGGACTGAGCTGCGAGTCATGGGTGGGTTTGGGACCTGCCTTCCAGCCGGGCTGGGGGGCAAGGGCGACGGGGCCACGGAGCCTTTGTAGAGCCATCTGCACCCCACCCGGCCCAGCTTGCCGCCTGAGGGGGGGGCCACACTGTGAAGGTGGCCGCGGCCGCAGATGGCCCAGGAGAGCCGCTGAGGAGGTCCGGAGGGGCGCAGGCCTGGAGGGGGCCCCCAGCCTCACCGCCCCTCGCCGCCTCCCCACAGGGTTAAGCACCTTGGCACAGCTGAAGCGAAGGAACACACTAAAAGATGGCATCATCATGATCCAGACCCTGCTCATCATCCTTTTCATCATCGTGCCCATCTTCCTGCTGTTGGACAAGGTGACCGCGGCAGCCAGCGAGGCGGCCATGGGGCAGGCCAGATGGGGGCAGGGTCTCCATCTCCCCGGCCCCAGAGCCCACCCATTGACTCACCTATGCAGTCTCTCCTTCATCCATTCAGTTGTTCTGAGTGCTCCTCACCCCCTGACGCCTGACCCCTTGCCCCCAATCCCTCTCCCCGGCCCAGTCTCCCCGGCGCTCCCCAGCCTGGCCCAGCAGTGGATGGGGTGGCGGGAGCTAACACTCTGCTCTCCATCCCCTGCCCCGCCAGGATGACAGCAAGGCTGGGATGGATGAAGATCACACCTACGAGGTAAGGAAGAGGGGGGCCCCACAGCGCTGAGGGCTGTGGGGTGGTCGGCGGCTATCCGCTGGTGTGGTCAGAGAGGAGCCAAGGCCTGAGCGCCATCCCGTGTCTCCAGGGCCTGAACATCGACCAGACGGCCACCTATGAGGACATAGTGACTCTGCGGACAGGAGAGGTGAAGTGGTCAGTCGGGGAGCACCCAGGTCAAGAGTGAGGGGCCGGCCCTCCCCATGCCCCTGGGCCCAGCCAGCCGGGCCCTCATTGGCTGTGTGAGAGCCGCCTCCAGCTCCCAGCTCATCCCCACTTCCCTGGACCTCGGTCAGCCTCTGAAGCTGGCCTGCCACATCTGCCTGCCGCCCCCCCGGCCCCTGGTCCCCAGCTCTTGGCGCAGAGACTGGAGTGGAAGGGCCGCAGGGCAGGGCAGTGATTTGGAGTGGGGACTTCTCTGGGGATAGACTGGACCCAGACTTCTGGGGGTGCTATGTGGGGATGCAGCCCATGTTCGGGACGGGGAAGGCAGAGGCTTGTCTGGAACCTGCAAAGGGACTCAAGCAGACCAGCTTCCTGCAGAGCCCGGGAAAAGCCGTGGTCCATCCCACTTGGCCACAGATGGGCCACAGAGGGCTACATGCCTCTCCCACCCTCTCCCACCCTCTTCCACCCTCTCCCACCCTCTCTCATCCTCTCCCACCCCAGGGGGCTCCTAGCCTTGATCCCATTCTCCCATGGAATAAACAGTGTGTCGAGAAACCACACACAGGCTTGTGACATCTATGGGTATGGGGTGGGTCAGAGTATCTCTCTGGGCACAAATGTTTGGACCTCTGTGGGCCCGGAGGGTGTGGGAGAGGATCACTGCCATGGATCTCATGGGCTTCTCCTGGGCTCACTAGGGCTTCTCTCTGAAAGCCTGGCTGGGATCTGTGGTTACGCCCTTCGGGTTTTCCCTGGCTGGGCCCAGATCAGAGAAAGGCTGGTAGCCCTTTTTAGCAGGAAGCCTTCATCCTGCATTCCCTTTAGCCCACAAGCAGTACTTGGGTCCTGCTCTGTAGGGCAGGGGTCTCAGCCTTGAAGGAGCTTGCCCTTGCCCACCCATTCCCAATCCTTCTGTCCCTGAAGGCCCTCCATCTGCAAGAAGCCCTCCCAAATATCCCCAGTCCCTGCCCAAGCCCCGTTCCTGCCTTGTGCTGCCCATGCTGGCCTTTGTCTCCAGTTAAACTACTCCCCACCATGCCTGACCCAGAGCCACGCAAGAAAGAGATTCCTAAAGAAGGAGGCTTTGCAGTGGTGAAGTTTGGGGGTCCTTAGGTGACTCCCTTCAGCCTTTCCCAGCACCACATTGGAGGCCCCCTAGAGCCCCAACATCCCCACAAAATGATCCCTAGGGCCCTACAAATTAGGCCCCAGTGTGCCGGCTGCAGGAGGGACAGGAGCAGTTCCCAGCTGGGAGCTTAAGGGCAATGAACCTCCGTGTGCAAAGCCAGGCCTCGCTCCACTTCCTATGGACCTTGGGGGGGGGGGCGCCCTGAAACACCTCTTTGCCACTCATGCTCTAGATTCAGGCCAGAGAAATCCCTGCCCCCAGGGAAGGGCCAATTTAACTGGAGAAGCAAGACCAGCGTGTGGGGACCAGTAAGAACAGCCACCAGTTGTTACCAGCTTCCCCGCTGGACCAGCAGGTGGGGTGGGGCAGGGGGCTAAGCTTCCTGCGCCTGGGGTTTCCAACAGTCCATGTGTGCGTGGCTCAGTGGCGCTCACCGGGAGCCAGGCTGGGCAGGCCAGGCAGGGCCCGCTCCCTCCGTGGCCTCCGTGGCCTCCGGGTGGCCCTGAGGAAACTGGTTTGTTTTGGCATCTGCCTCCACTGAGCTGGAGCCCTTCCTCTCCTGCTGCTTTGCATAGTGGCGCTAATTCTGTCCTCCTACCTCCGCCAGGGACCCTAGCAGCCGGGCTGGGGGTGGGAGGGTGTCTTCACTTCTCCCCCCAGCAGGGTCTCCCCTGACCTGGGGCTGCCCTGAGTCTAGAGAAGCCCTGGCTTTACCAAAAGACTAATACTTTTGGATCACTGAGTTTTCCTAGCGCTTCGCAGTGCTGTTGGCCGAGACTTACTTGAGCCGCAAGCCCTGCCTCCTACCCTGGACACCCCTAGAGGGTATTTGCCCTCATGGTCATGATGTAGAAGCCCTCCCTGGTCTGTTTGTCTTTTTTTTTCCTTTGTTTTTGTTTTTGTTTTTCTGTTTTAGGGGCTTATGCTCTGGTTATTGTCCTATCTATATTAGGGGCCCCTGGCCCCCAGAACTGACTGAGGCAATGCCGATGAAACTGCGTGATGCTGGTGGGGGTGATGAAAGTCTCAGGTCTCAGTTGCTTTATCTGTAGAATGGGAATCATAAAAACTTGTCTGAGGGAAGGGAGTTGAACCAGATGCTGTTCTTTTTCTTTTTTTGCCATACAGTAACATTGACTTTGTTTTCTTTCAGTATACAGTCTGATGAATTTTAGCACATGTGCAGATTTATATACCCCCCCCCACCAAAATCAGGATACAGAACATGAACCAAAATCTTTTATTGGGCCCCTAAAATACTTACATATTGAGCACCTCTGAAATGCCAATAAAACTGTATCGAACAGCCCCATATTCATGTACATAATCTTGCATAAGCCCCAGCATAACCCTGGAAGGGGGCAGCATCATCCCCATTTGATAAATGAGCAAATCAAGGCTCAGGAAGATAACAATGGGTCAAAGTCATAGCTTCTGGGGGATTGGACGCCTGCTGATGCCAAACCCAGCATTCTTCCCGGTACCTCGCCTCTGCCTCCCTCGGAGGACTCTGCAGCATGGAGACATTGAGGAGGAAGTAAAGAAGGAGGAGAACCAGGGAGGAGAGAATCCTGGGACAACACTGGCCATCTGCAAACATTTCCCATTGTTCCCAAGTCCCAACACACAAGGACACGAGTCCCAGCCTGGCTGGAGTTCGCGCCACGGGGCCATCCTTCTAGGGGTCCCGCTCTGGCCAACTCCCCCAGGCCTCCCCTTCCACAGAACACAGCCCTGAGGTGCCTTGGTGGGCACATGCCCCACTGCCCACTGGGGGAATCCAACCGGGTCCCTCGGGGCCCTGCTGTAAGCATAGGCTGGTTCCTTCTTTGTTCTAGCTTGACTTCCGGCCCCTTCGATGCAGGTGCTGCCAGGCCTGGGGTGCTCTCTGACCTGAGGGTTTGGGTGTTTTTTCCAGCAGAATCAGAGGTGACAGAAAAACAAAACAAAATGTCAAAAGCTGCCACTGTGTGGGTGTCACTGGTAGGTAGTGTTTGTCCCTTAGCAGGTGTCTGAGTCTTCTGCGAAGGGGCCGCAAAAGGCCCTCTTGGAACACAGGGTTTGGGATTCCCAGTTCTGTCTGCGAGCGTTCTGCTCTTTAGATGACCCTCAGGGCCGGATTCAGAGCCCACATCTGTGAAATTCCTGGGTGAGTCCGGCTCTCCACGGTGCTCCTGGTTCCGGCACCCTCAGAATCTGCCGGTGACTCAGCTGCAAACAAAAAAAAAAAACCACACCTTCTACTTGGGATACCTCAGCGACCTCTCCAAGTCCAAAGCCTCTACCTGGAAACTTAGATGACTCCACAGCACACAAAGATTAACTAGCGTTCAATCCTGAATTCAAAGTGTAGTTTGTTAAAGTACATTTAGATGGATCCTCGTGCGTTTCTTAAATTAAAAATAAATAAATAAAGACCTCTTTCTCTCCAACTGAACACCACTTTCTCTGGTGGTGAAAGCAGGGGGGAGGGGGGCGGTGCCAGACACCTCGGGAGGTCCCGCTTAGGGCTCAGGTTCTGCAAGTCATGAGTCCGTGTAGAATATTTGTGATCAGCATCTGCATACTGCCTTGTCTATTTTTTTTTTTCATTTAAATTTTTTTCATGCACGTAGTGCCGTGTATCGCAAGATCTTGTACTTTTTATGGTTTTTTGGGGGGTACTTCTCATTTTAAATTCATTCTCTGAGAAGGACATGGAGACACAAGGTGGCCTACCTTATCATTTCCGGGTGGGTGGGTATTTGAGTTCTTCCCTTGGCATCGTCCTCGCATTTGCTCACCCCACCTAGCACGTGCTGGTTGAGTTCCTGGCTCTGGGACTGGGCCTGCTGTCTGTCCCCCCGTCTTCCCAGGCTTTGCTCTCACCTCTCTATCTTAGCTGTTTCTTTCATGGCATTTTTGGCAACGTGAAATTTCCTTGTATATTTTGCCATTATGTATTTGTTTGCTCTTGTCTCTCTTCCCCGTAGACCGTAAGCTCCAGCAGAGAAAAGATGGTGTCTTTTTCATCTGGGTATGCCCATCTGCCGGGTACGATATCCGGCACATAGAAAGAGCAATGACTACTTCTAGAACCAGTTAATGCATGAAAAAGAGAATGAGTGAATGAATGAATCGATGAAAGGCATGAATCCAGCCTCGAAGGGTTTACAGTCCCACAAGGGGCATAAAATGTCCATAAATAAGCACAGAATTAGGTAAAAGGAGTCAGAGGTGATTTCCAATAAAGGGCACCAATCAGAAAAGCACCCCAGACTTCCCACAGCTGCTGGACACACCTGGGTACTCACTACTTCTTTTTCTTTTTCTTTTTTTTAAAGATTTTATTTATTTATTTATTTGAGAGAGAAAGAGAGAGACAGAGAGCAGGAGGAGGGGCAGAGGGAGAAGCAGACTCCTCGCTGAGAGGGAAGCCCCACTGACGGGGGTCTCGATCCCAGGACCCCAGGATCATGACCTGAGCCGAAGGCAGCCACCCAACCGACTGAGCCACCCAGGTGCCCCTCACTACTTCTTTATCCATGGGACTGTCTCCCTGGGGAATAATCCCCAAAGTGGAAATTAATAGGTCCAGTTATGGAGGCTGTTATGCACTTGTAGATGGTTCAGAGATTCTCAGCCAGGGTAAACAACACCCTTATCAACCCACAGGAGTGCCTACCCCTATGCTACCCCCCACCCCCAAGCCCTCCAAGGCCCTTCCTCCCTGCTTGAGCCCTGTGGCAAACCCAAGGGTCCAAAGAGATAAAGGAAGTGAAAACATGATGCACACTGAAACGTGCAATTCACATGTGAAGGATGATGTGATTTGGTTCATTAAATTGGGTTACATCGGGTTGTTTTTTCTGCAGCTTTTCTTGGTGTCCGTGGACCTCATTCTGGGGTGAAGCTCCTTCCGTTCAATTCCCCCCAGCTTCACTGAACATCTGAGCGGGGATTTGACCCTCCTCTGCTAGCTTTGTGCTGAGGAAAGTTCTGTCCATGCCCAACAGCGCCACTGTCTTTCCCGGATGAGGGTTCTAAAGAGTTCCATGTGGTGGGAAGATGGGGGCCTTGGGCAGCTATCACTTAGGAGCCAAGAGACTGTGGGCAAACTACTTTATTTCTTTGAGTCTGAGTGTCCTCCTCTGAAATGGGCCTCCCACCCCAATCAGCCGGGACGGAGCCTCGCACATGGTGGGCACTCAGAAATGTTGATCTCCTTCCCCACCTCCCCTGACGAAGCCTTTGGGAACCCCCACATAACATTCTCTAGAGACCTTGACCCAGTGCTGGATGATTGACGTGGTGCTCGGACTCCTGCTGGAAGCAAAGGGGAGGCGGAGTTATATCCCAGGGGTACCCAGCCTCGGGCCTCAAGGAAGACAGCACAGAGTTCGTGGTGGGAAATGTGAGCCTCAAGTGACCAAGGTGGGGGAAGTGGGAAGAACGGTTACCAGTCTCTCTGAGGCTGGCCCTAAGGCTGTGGTAAGTACGACTCCAAAATAAGTCGGCCCCAAACCCCGTGGATTGAACCTCAGAGGGGTTCCTGAAGCCTGAAAGAGGCCACTTTCTGATCAAGAGCAGATCCATGAGCTTCCATAATAGGTACAGAAAGCCCCAGATTTCAAATCTGAAAATATGAAGGGCTTCCAAACACACTGAACTTCATGGATTCCAAGATGAGGGGCAATTCATCTCGAGTCTTTTGAGGCTGACCCCAGACATGCTAATCACAGCCTCTTCCTACCGGCCACCATACGGAGGCCATGGTTTGACAATCTCTGAACCTGGAGAAGCCAGGGGTCTGGCCCTTTGGTGCCCCAAGAAAGCATGGATGACTCGCCAGCACCAGAGGGAAAATCCCAAGTCTACCTCCACACCCTTCCATTCTTGCTGCTACCATGGTAACCCCAAAGGGGTATCCTCAGGGACCTCCAGAGTCCCGTGAGCTGATCTAGTTCTGGGGTCAATGGAAGTGGGTTTGGTGAGGAGAGAAGAGCCCCTCCCCTGATCTGGCCAGTTCCATCTGTTCTTGGCAGTACCCTGCCTGTGGGGAACCTCAGCCACACTTCCCCCGTGCTCACCTTGCGTGGTTCTTAAGCAGTCCCCAACTTGGGCTCCTGTACCCTCAATCCTAGGGGAGGCCTGACGCTTCACCCGTGGTCCACAGTTCACATACAAGTCCCCCCACCATGAGCTAGAAACTGGTCATGAAGGGTTCCACATCAGTCCTCCTCCACAGGGTGGAAAGAGGGGGGCGAGGAGGTAGAAGGCTGTGTGGGCCTCAGAGAGCTTCCTCCATTTTGCTCCTGGCCCCTCCTCTGTGGTAGAGCTGCAGGGAAGAGAGGAAAGTCTTCCCCACGCTCCCCTTTTCCTCAGGCCTCCATCTTTAATGATAGCCCACTCTGATCCTCCCTCAGCCCTCCCTGGGGAACAGCTCCATGCGTCCAGTGCCTTCCCCAACAGATAGTGAATCAGGGCACAGTTGGGCAATGATTCCAGAATGATGGGAGAAAAGGAAGCTGTATCCTAAAAGTGGGAGGTGGCAAGACGCCAGTACTCCTGTCCTGGACCACGAGGGTGTGACTTTTCAACGTTGGTTGTCAACACCATAACCAATGACCTCTAGAAGGGTTTGCTGGTTCATTTGTTTGTTTTCCCACAGGGCAAGTGCTAAATGTTCTCAGACTCAAGGGGTGGAAGGTTTACACGGAGGGGAATGTGTTCTTTCCTGCTCTTAGCCCTGGGGGTGATCTGTTGCTGGTGGCCTGCAGATGCCACAATGTCCCCAAGCCTGGGCACCAGGAGGCTGGAGGGCGGCTGTCCTACCCAAGCCTTCCCGGCCCCCGCCTTGCAGGGCTACCTGATCTCCGACGTGCACCCTGTGTCTCTGGGCCAGTCTCGCCTCAGAAATGAGGAACAAAAGTCTGCCTCGTAGGGGAGGACAAAATGAGGCAAAGGGACCCTCGTGATGAGGGGGCAACACAAAATCCCTGTGTTGAGGGGGATTTAGAAGATGAAATGACCGAGTGGCCCACCCACTCTGCTCGGGAGAAAGAGTCTGGGATGATCAACAGGGGAAGAGCAGGGTTTTGGAGGTCAGCTTCAGCCGAGGTAGCTGGCGCGAGCAAGCCTCTCTGAGCCTCGGTCAGCTCCTCTGTAAAATGGGGAGTAATAATACTGCCTTCACGAGATGGTTGTGGGGGTCAAACGTGTCACAACGTGACGAGCTCTGTACGAATATTTAAAGGGGAAGAAAGACTGGGAGGAGACTAGGGTGACTGGAGAGAGCATCTGTGGGGGTGCTGTACCCGGAGTTCCAGTGCTGGGGACGAGACCCAAGCCCTCAAGGCCTCTTCCAATCTTGAGATCATCTGGCGGTGCCTGGGCTTGGGGGGCGGGGGGAAGCACTTGGGGCCTGGGTCTTTTCACTTCTCTCCTTGGTTTGCATCTCTGTAGCAGGTCCGAGGAGCAGGGGGGATGCCTCCAGTTTGGGTCCTTTGCCCCAGCCACCTGGGGGTGCCCCCACGTCAGGGAAAAGGGGGGGAGTTGGTGGGGAGTGGACAGTGTGGAGCTGGGGCCCCCTGGAGGTCAGCGTTCAGCACCAGCTGCCTCAGGCCCGACCAGGTGGTGGGATGGCAGGAAAGGGTGGGGGATGGTGACAGCAGCAGAAGCGGAATCTGGGGCTGAATTGTGCCCAGAAACCTCAGGATCCATGGCTGTTCTGGGCTCCCTTTCCCTAGACACACATTCTCTCTGGTGGACAGAGGGGAGCCGTGCGGGGCGGAGGATCGGGAACAGAGGGCGAGGAAAGGTGGCGCAGCCCTCCCAGCACAGCCGACCTGACACAGCCCCGCTTTGGGGGACCGGTTTGGGTCCTCCTCACCTGGGCGGACCACCCCATGACGGTACCCGAGCAGAGCGCGCCTGCCACCTCCCCCTTGAAATGAGGACCGATTGGGTGGTCCCTCAAGCTGAGACCCTGTGTGCAGGGCCGGTGACATCGGAGAGGGGAAGATGGCAGGGAAGGCCTGGGGGACATGACCCCAAGAAGAGCGGGAACAGGACAGGAGGGAGGAGGCTCTAAATTATCCATCAGTACAGACCGGCCAGTGGCCCGATGCATAAATGTATAGAGAAAATAGGGGGGGCGGAGGGGGAGAGAGAGAAGGGACCAGGGTATAAAAAGGGCCCACGAGGGACCAATTCCAGGATCCCAGCACCCAGCTCCCCAAAGCGCTCAAGGTCCTGTGGACAGCTCACCCGGCTGCGATGGCTGTAGGTAAGTCCCCTCGGGCTGGGCGAGGCGGGGGCCCTGCCAATGGATGGGGGCGCTAAGCCTGGGCTCTGGGGCTGCTGCAGGGGAGCACAGAGGTCTGTGCCCGGACGTTTGGCCAAGCGTTACATGTTCTCAGTCCTGGGGCGGGGGCAGGGGAAGGGCTGGGAAGAAACAGGCCTCTCTCCATCTGGGCCCCAGCCTTGCCCTCTATGTCCCTGTGTGTCCCTGTGTGTCCCTGTGTAGGCCCTCAGAACTCTGTGCTCCTGGCCTTCACCCTGCTCTGCCTGCCCTGGCCTCAGGAGGTGGGCGCCTTCCCGGCCATGCCCTTGTCCAGCCTGTTTGCCAACGCCGTGCTTCGGGCCCAGCACCTGCACCAGCTGGCCGCCGACACCTACAAAGAGTTTGTAAGCGTCCCAGGAATGGGTGCTGGGGGGGGGGTGCAGGAAGGGGTGAGGAGTTCAGGGTGATTTCATCAAAGCGAAGAGGCTGTCTGCTGAGCACAGCCTGAGGGGCTTCCGAGTCAAGCAGTGGGGCGGCCCTGGGCGGGTGTCCTTGTTGCAGGAGCGTGCGTACATCCCCGAGGGCCAGAGGTATTCCATCCAGAATGCGCAGGCCGCCTTCTGCTTCTCGGAGACCATCCCGGCCCCCACGGGCAAGGACGAGGCCCAGCAGAGATCCGTGAGTAGGCCAGGGCGGGCCGGCCCAGGGGCAGGGGCCTCCCCCCTTCCAAGAAGGCGGCCCCTCCTCTCCACAGGAGTCGGGCCCCTGGGGCGGGAGGGGCGCAGGGTGGCAGGGTGGCAGCGGGAGGCCCCCAGGCCCCCAGGCCCCCAGGCCGGTGCGCCCACCGCCCCCTCCGCCCGCAGGACATGGAGCTGCTCCGCTTCTCGCTGCTGCTCATCCAGTCGTGGCTCGGGCCCGTGCAGTTCCTCAGCAGGGTCTTCACCAACAGCCTGGTGTTTGGCACCTCGGACCGAGTCTACGAGAAGCTGAAGGACCTGGAGGAAGGCATCCAAGCGCTGATGCGGGTGGGGATGGCGCCCTGGGTCCCCTCCTGGGGGGCCGTGCCCGCCCTCTGCTGGGCCTGGTGGCCCCGCTGGCTCAGACGAGGGGTGGGGGGCTTCCAGGGGCGACGGTGCCCCTTCCTTTATAGTCAGCAGTCAGGCCTTGACCCCTGAGAGCGCTTCCTCGGTCCCCCCACCCCCCGTGAATCCTCCGTTCCCTTCCCTGAGCCCGGAGGGGAGGGCCGCACCCGCAGGGACCGGGAGGAGCAGCGGCCGAGGCCTGCGTCTCTCTCTCCCTCCCCGCCTTTTGCAGGAGCTGGAAGACGGCAGCCCCCGGGCCGGGCAGATCCTGAAGCAAACGTACGACAAGTTTGACACAAACCTGCGCAGTGACGACGCGCTGCTCAAGAACTACGGGCTGCTCTCCTGCTTCAAGAAGGACCTGCACAAGGCCGAGACGTACCTGCGGGTCATGAAGTGCCGCCGCTTCGTGGAAAGCAGCTGTGCCTTTTAGTGGCCGGGCCTCCCTTTCACCCCCTCCCCTGAGCCTCCCCTCACCCTGGAAAGGGCCACTCCCTGTCCACTGTGCTTTCCTAATAAAATAAAGTTGCATCACAGCATCTGAGTAGGTCTCATGCTGTTATGCGGGGCGAGGGCCAGGCCGGGAAGACCACCGCGGGCATCCCGTGGGATCTGCTGGGAAGGGTAACTGACACGATTCTTCCTGGGCTAGAAAGGAACGGACACACTCACTCCTGTCTGTCGCTCATCAAGTCCCCTGCCCAGGCCCCGGGTCGCAGCTCTCTGGGCAGCCGTAGGTCAGGCGCACCCCCATGAAGTCTCTGGAGGTGTTCCTTCCTCCCCCATGGGCCCCACAACACCAAATCTAGCCCCCAAGAGCGGGAAGAAGTGGAAAGCAAGACAAGCTAGTGAGTACAGAAGCCAAATGCCCCAACATGGGAGAAAACAATCAGAGAGATCAGAATTACTTTTGTGCAGAAAGTACACATTAGACGTGCCTGCTTTTGGAAAACAGGAACGATGCAAAAGGCTTTGGGACAAACAGACCCAGAATATTGGGGATCTGAACGGTCGCAAGGGAAGTGGAGGAAAGACACTAAATCGGGGTTGCAAATTCAGCACCAGCAGGTGCCAGGTAGATAATTAAGAAAGTAAGGAGGGCTGGGCGTGAAGGGATAAGTCCTGACTGACACGCCGCTTCCTCATCCGGGGTACAACCCAGAACATGGGGGCCAGAGTAACCTGGAGAACTCAGGCCTTGGCGCCATTCAGGACCACAGGGCAGGGCTTCCAAACCTCCTGATTTTTAAGACACGCAGGACATCCAGACTTTCACGTGAAATCTGATTTTTAAACATTGGTGACTAATTCACATTGAAAACATTTTAAAAAATATTGTACTTCTTTATTTATTTTAGAGAGAGAGAGAGAGCGAAAGTGGGGGAAGGAGCACAGAGAGAGACAGGATGGGGGAAAGCTCTCAAGCGGACTGGGCACTGAGCCCGAAGCCTGACACGGGGCTCGATCTCACGACCCTGAGATCATGACCTGAGCCGAAACTAAGAGTTGGACGCTTAACCCAATGAGCCACCTAGGCGCGCCCATATTGCAAACATTTTTAAGGTCAAAAATGAACCCAAACGCATTTGCTCTTCGAGTTGTCAGTGAGTGATTTGTTCTAAGGGCAGTGGATTGGAATAACTTGTGAGGGAAAGAATCAGAAATATTTGGACTTGAATTTAGGCTCAGGAGTAGATTACTTAACCTCTCCGGGACCCAGTTTCCTCACCCATAAAATGAGATGATAACATATCGCCTTGCAAGGCTAATGTCAGGATTAGATAAAATGGTGTTTCCGAGGTGTTTGACCCATTACAGCCCTCAAGAAATTGCAGCTCTTTTGCACTGAATTTTGGAGCGTCCCGTGTTTTCTGATGGAATGTTTAAATATTTGTTATTGAATCAAATTCTGTTTTGCTAATCGCTTCTCAATTGTTTCTTTCTTATTTCCACATAAACTTACAAGGGCAGTGGTTAACACTGTAGAATGAAGTCTTTGGTCACCCAAGCACCTTCGCTAAGTAGTGACCTATAAATCAATACTTAGATGCTCAGAGTAACTCTATTATCCAAACATGATTTTACAGAATCGATGATTCTTTTATAATACAAAAGTCAGTGTCCTAATTAATCTTGAAAAGTTCAAATTTGTATATGCTGTGATGAATTTTCTTTAAAACAAGACCCATCTGTATTCATTTTGGATACTTGACATTTAGTAAGTTCTTGGGGAGTGGTTGAGAGCTGGGATAATCAGAACCCAGAGCTCCATTTCTTAGCTCAGAAACCATTCGCCTGCCATAGATCATTCTTTTAGTGTCCGGCTTAAAATCATGGACTTTGGGGGTTAGAAGGGGCTCATGGGTCATCCTAATTCATTCTAATTTAGGAGTCTTACTCCATAGCATCGCCTAGAGATAGCACTCACTGTGTAGCACTAGTATGAGGGAGTTACTATTTCGCAAGGCAGCTCGCTCTATTACACCGCTCTGGTTTCAGAGAAGTATTTCTTACATTAAGCTGAAAAGCAATATTCCTGTATTATCCCTCATTGGATCTTAGAATTATTTGGAAAGTTCATATTCTTCAGAAGTTGAGGTAATGAGCATAAATAGAAGGATCTCTTAGCTTGGATAAGTGTTTTAGAAGGAAACGTGACCATTCTTTAAAAAGTACGGTGTTTGTTGAATGAATGTGGCAGAAGTGTGCCTTCCGAGCGGTGTTAACAGCTGCTAGGGAGAGGGTTCTACAGTGGGCTTGTCATGACAGCAGTAGCCTGCAGGGGGAGCCACAGGCCAGGGAGCATCCGCTCAGCTCCTTCTGGGTTTAGCAGAATCCACTCCACCAAAGCTTGTTGAGAAATTCAAAGATACTGGTTGATTTTGCAAAATTTTAGAATTTAAAAAGACCTTAAAGACCATCTCCCCTAAACTTTTTGATTTGACCAATGTTATTCTGCCTTTCAGCTTTTCAATTAAGCAGTGGAGACCACGCTCCATTGCAAATTAGAAACACCTGAAATGTTTTCTTTTTTTTTTTTTTTTAAGATTTTTATTTATTTATTTGACAGAGAAAGACACAGCGAGAGAGGGAACACAAGCAGGGGGAGTGGGAGAGGGAGAAGCAGACTCCCCGCCGAGCAGGAAGCCCGATGCGGGACTCGATCCAGGGACTCCAGGATCATGACCTGAGCCGAAGGCAGTCGCTTAACCAACTGAGCCACCCAGGCGCCCCCCTGAAATGTTTTCTAAACAACTCTGGCAGTAGCCTCCACTCTCTGCAGTTCTGATTTCATTGGTCTGGAAGGGATCCAGGAAGCAGTCATTTAAAAAACTCCCCAGGTGAGTCTAATGTACAAACAAAGTTGAGAACCAGTAAGTGAGGGACCACAAAGATGAGATATCCGGGTCCACCGGCGATGAAGACCTGGGTCAGTTGTGGCTCTGTCTGTTTCTAATTCTAAACAGTCCTCTAAAAATGTTCTAATAAGCCAGTAACAAAAGACAAGTATTGTATGATTTCTCTCTATGAGGTACTTAGCGTAGTTAAATTTATGAAGACAAGAAAGTGGAATGGTTGGTTACCAGGGCTGGGGGAAGAGGGAATGAGTTGTTGTTGAATGGGTGGAATATCAGTTTTGCAAAATGAAGAGTTCTGGAGACCGGTTGCACAGTGTGAATGTACTTGACACTTAAAAGTACTTAAAATGGTTAAGATGGGGGGTCCCCGTCTGGCTCAGTTGGTAGAGCATGGGACTCTTGATCTTGGGGTTGTGAGTTTGAGGCCCATGTTGGGTGTAGAGATTATTTAAAAATAAAATGCTTTTTTAAAAAAATGATTAAGATGGTAAATTTTATGTTCTGTATATTTTACAACAACTTTAAAAAAATTTTTTAAATTTCTAATGAAAAATCTTCCCAAAGGTGAGATTGGTGAGATTTGCCGAAGAAAGAGTTCAATAGCCAGAGCTCAGGTAATCTTGAACCCCCCTGGAATAACGTTTTTCGGACTCCATGTAATCTTTTAAATTTACTCTAACCTCAAATGACCTAAATTTACTCTAATCCGAATTTCTGTGAAAATTAATAAAAAGAAACCTAGTTTAGAATGGAGTGGGGAGGCCAGCAGGGGGAGCTCTCATGCCCTGCCACTTGGCGATTGCAGACCCAACAGGAAGAGATGGACCTTGCAGATACCACTTTACTATCAGGCAACTAGAGGCAAGACTTTCCTCCGCCCCAGCAACAGCCCAGCCAATGAGAGACACTCACAACTCAGCCAATGAGAAGCCCCCATACTTCCAACTCCCACTTTACTCCAATGGACTTTTTGTTTACAACAGTCTCCCCAACGTCCCCCCTTCCTCTATAGAAAAGGTGTCCTCTCCTTCGCCCTGCGGACTTGCCTATGGTTTTGGGGTAGCGTAGTTCCCCTAAATTGTGATTCTTCGTTATTCCCATATAAGCGCGTTTTTGCTGGTAAAATAACTGGCATTTTGTTTTTAAGGTTAACCTTAGTGATCATGAGTGGGATGCAGAGAAGCGCCCCAACAATTCTGGGCTGGGGAGCAAACAGGCGCTGGTACCCGCAGAGCCAGCCGGGCGCACGGACTCCTCCAGGACCTTGGCGTTGAAGGTAAGTTTTCTCCTGGATTTTGAGCTCTGCTCTGTGTTTGAGCTCTCCAGTCTTTATTCCGGATGTGTTTTCAGATCTCGTTTTTTTCTGAGAGTGTTCGCTTGGCCTTCCGTCTGACTCTTGTTCTGAACCGAACTGTTCCTTTTGGATTGGGCTGCCCTTCGGTCTGACTCCCATTTGGAACCAGACTGCTCCTGGTGGAACCGGGGCTGTTGAAAGTGTGTTGGCCTTTGGTGTGGCAGAAATCAGACTCACCACAGCAGAGTCGTATCGTTTGTTCCTCTCGGCCCAGCTACCATCCTCTTTATGAGCAACATCTGCAGGTGATACTGGCCGAATCCACAGTGCACCTCCCAGCAGGATTCAAATAGATCCCTCAAAATCTCTTCTCAGAATGAATCGGTACCGTATAAAGAAGCCCTTCAAGGCATCAAGGCTATAATAGAAGATTGCAAGGCTCGGAGCCTCATTATTCCCTGCACTCGTGCCTATAATACCACTGTTTTACCGGTGAGGAAGCCCCAGTAGCTCCTCAGCTCACAACTCAGGATGGGGGTTTGTCCCCGACCTCTGAGCAATAACAACATTGTTATCCCTTGGCACCTGTTGTTCCTAAGCCCCATATGCTACGGACATCCAGTCCCACTGAAGGCAAATTTTTTTTTTAAAGATTTTATTTCTTTGACAGAGAGAGAGTACAGATAGGCAGAGCGGGGGGGGGGGGGCGGGCAGAGGGAGAGGGAGAAACAGGCTCTCCGCAGAGCAGGGAGCCGACGCAGGTCTCGATCCCAGGACCCTGGGATCATGACCTAAGCCGAAGACAGCCGCTTAATCGACTGAGCCACCCAGGCGCCCCTGAAGGCAAATTTTTCACTGTATTTGATCTATGCAGTGCATTTTTACCATCCCGTTTGATAAAGATAGTGCCTTTTTGTTTTCACTTGGGAAGAATGGAAATGCACCTGGACAGTAAGCTCCAGGGTTGCATACACAGTCCTTTTTACTTTTCACCAACCTTAAAAGCTGATTTGGGTGATAGAAAGTTTTCTGCAGGCTCTATTTTGTTACAATTTGTATATGATTTACTTCTCTGCTCCCTTTCTCAAACCTCTTCACAGGAGACAGCATCCACCTGTTAAATTTTGGCCTTAAAGGGACATAAGGTCTCCAAAAAAAAAAAAAAAAAAAAGCCATTTGCTCAAACTGAGATGCAATACTTAGGGCATCTAATCTTGAAACAAGGACTACATTTAGACCCAGACAAAACCCCTCACGACTGCTTAACACTGACAGATAACCTTTTGACCCTCCCCCATGGAAATATACAGGAAACACCTCTAACCAATGCAGATTTTTCATGCTTTACTGATATTTCTTTTTTTTTTTTTTAAGATTTATTTATTTCAGAGAGAGAAAGTACACGTGAGCACAAGTTGGGGGGAGGGCAGGGGCAGAGAGAGAGGGAGAGAAGGTCCCAAGTAGACTCCATGCTAAGTGCAGAGCCTGATGTGGGGCTCGATCCCACGACACCAAGATCATGACCCGAGCTGAAATCATGAGTCAGACGCTTAACCAACTGTGCCACCCAGATGCCCCTTACTGATGGTTCTTATTTAAAGGATGGTAAATATTGTGCTGAGTATGCTATAGCAATTCCTTTTGAAGTCGTTGAGACAGGAGCTTTACCTTTACAATTCAGCCTTACTCCAGCTTGTAACTTAGCTGAGGATAAAATCGTTACCATTTACACTGATAGGCGGTATGCTTTGGG